ATTGTATAGGTCAACGGTGCCATGGGTCTGGTTGAAGCCCCGTCATATCACATATATTTATGTGGAGTGTATCCATACTCAATCTTCAAGCTTTTCAAGAGCGCCCCGTCCCGGTATGATCGTTCCAAATACCCGGGTCTTCATGTTTGCACTATTAGTGCAGTCGCTATTTCTAATGTCTACCGATTTGGTGCCCAAGAACGAGATCGGCCACCCCTTGGTGAAAGAACCTGAGTTATTGCTGACATTACGTACTACGCATACAAACGCGTACAATGCTCATCTACACTTTCTGCCAATATATCATTCTCAAGCCTCCAACCAATCTACATCGTTGAAATAGAAAACAAGCGGAAAAAATACTTCCGAAACTGAATATACTCGGGATTCATAGCAGCCAGTGAGTCTCGCTGGAACATGAATCCTCCCCGAAAGTGGGCAAAGAACAAGGGTCATCATGGTGAATTGTCTTATATTCACAAATCAACATTGTGACTCCACTTATCATGCACTCAGTGCCATAGAGATTCAGAGGTCCGAAATTCATCCAATGTTCGAGACATGATACCTATGTCTTCCCTCCGACATGGACTGAATGGACCTTACCGAACAAACCGCCTTGCCTCTTCGAAACAGTCGACTAGGAATTCACGATAGACGATCTTTAGAATCTCGTATACTATCGAATAATATGGAAGCAATCTCAATCCTTAATAACAAGGCGAAGGATTGTCTTGTAAAATAAGTATTTCTAGAAGTTCCAGCCTGGATGGGACGATTACGCACAAGTTCGCGCAACACTCTTAGGAGATATTTCTAATCAAATCGCCGAATACCACTACTAGATACGCCTTGTTCATTCTATCTTTGTATTGCCAAGATTCCATTGTTTCAGAGCCACCTTCTGCAGCTAAGAACGCCAAGTAGCCTCTTTATTCTGACACAACCGAAGCCACTGCTGCGCAGGAACCAAGCTAACTAAAAAAGGCGATTCGAACTCAGGACGGTTGGTCGACTGGATATAAAAAGATTCATTTAGGTTTTGTACCTATGACTGCGAGCCGTGAAAAACGCCGCAGCTTCTTGAGTGACAAATTCTGAGACATGAACTCAGCTCAGACGAAAGGAAGTTCAACAATTAAAGGAATGAAGGATGAAACAAACCAGAGAGATTCATACGCCCGTTCTATCAGAGGAAACTAGCTTTCGGATGGCAACCCTTCACTACTTAGGTACGCAATGTCAGGAGTGTTTGGTCTTGAAAGTAGAGCTCTGAGCTTGTGATGGTCATGACGCATTAGACCCATCAGTTGGAAGCCCACTTAGACCAAGCAGGGAGAAGAAGAATACTCCTTCATTATGGTCAATTAAAATAACAAGAACAGATTGAATACGACAAATTCCCACAACGTTTCTGTTTATTACATGGATTTTGACACCAGGACACTCTTACTACAAGTGAAGGGCATCTTCGATTTGCGAAACTGCGGAAAGATAGGAAATATAGGAAGTACAATATCATCTCGGTATATCCCTTTACTTGAAATAAAGGATTTTCAAAGGTGTTAAGTCACTATATGCGGCGGAGCTAGACAGGAAAAGCGAAAGAAAGATCGCCAACGTTCTCTCCAATTGAGAATCTAAACATATACTGCGACAGCCTCATATTTCATCTTGAATATCCATAAACGATATATCTATGATACTTGCGACCCTAGACTCTCAGGGATCAAGCAGTCATCTGTCGTCACCATTGAGAAATTTGATGCCAGGAAATAAGACCTAGCTTGGTTCAGTAGCATAACTTGTTTTGACATTTTATGCTACACCAAAGGCAGATACAGAGTTTATAAAGGCATTGGCTTTTCAGTCTACCATACTTGACTAGAAAAAAGAATCGGATAGCGGAAGACCCGAGTACCTTTTCATTGCAATCTTGGGAGGTGGATACGTTCGCACCAATCACATGGATCTTTGTTGAGCTGCAGCTAGTGGACGTGGTCGCATGATTCTCGCATCTGCAGAAGTTCCCATGGAGAATTAGTTGGTAGTCTGAACTTCAGCTCGTGCGGGGAAGAAACACTGCTAACGTCATATATTCTGTGGTAGTCCATGAATAGACAAGAAAAGTAATACCCCGACCAAGCCATCATCGTCAGCTACAAGAACACGAGCATAACTACCTTCTGAAAGTATGAGAGTTAGATCACAAAGGTAAGATCAATGTACAATGGCATACCAAAACCATAATGAAGAAGTATGGGGTCTGACTCATGTAATCCTGTTTGGAAGCAATTGCACATTTCGATACTGGGGTGAGGATAGTATTTGGTATACACAAGTCATGAGATATTAAGTGGCTCTCAATGGGCAATTAGCTTATTCATCTCTTCATTTGGTGATGTGGTATCAGGAAAAATAACATTTCTACTTATATTCAAACAAAATCTGCGGGCTCTTTAATAGGAATAATCCCAGGTCTCTCTATTCATACATTACTCTAACAACCTACAACTCAAGCATTGGGATGGAAGTGCCACTTTCCAGGATTTCTACCATCCCGATGATCATCCAATATCTTATTGAATGCATCTACATCCAAACCACCTTCCAAAACTTTGAAGCCAAGCGGCTTGATTTCTCCAGAATTTATCCAGCCTGGCAATAGCTTGAAGAATTCCTTGGAGAATTCTGTATGTAAATGAGGTATCCCAAGTGTCTGAGCAATATCGTAGTTTCCGGAAGAAGGCTTCACGCGTAACAACGTTATGACCTTGCCTCTCTTCTTCTCAGATAGCAGAGAAATGGCAAATGAGTGCTCAAGGTTGACGGGATCATAAACGTAAACGATTTCATCACCGACAGCCTCTTGGACACGTGACTTGACCTCTGAGTCTGTACCATGACGATCGATAACATGGGTTGCTCCATAGGATTTCAGTTCATCGGTGTTTGATTTTGACGCGACCACAACGATCTTTCCAAACCCAGTGATTTTTGCGAGTTGGACGGCGAATTTTCCACAGCTAGTTCCTCCCCCAAGAATCACAACGGCTTGAGATGAAGCATCGAAGGTCTTGTTCTCTGCCCACGGAGCTGGAAACCCAAAGGCTTTATCCGACCAGAATGATACAGCAGAAGCAAATAGATTTACTGGAAGTGTTGCTGCTTGATCATCGGTGATATTCGATGGTACCTTGGCAAAACATCCAACTTCCAAAAGAGCATATTGTTGGGATGCTTGGGAATCGAATGCGAACCTAGGATATCCGAATACATGATCGCCGAGTTCGAAACCAGAGACGTTGTCGCCTTTGGCAGTAATTACACCGGCAACATCATTACACAACGTCGCAGGAACGGGAAGTTGGAAGAGATTTCTGTCTTGAACTTTTGAATCGTGGGGATTTACTAGGTTTTTTGTTAGCGTAGTCTTGGGGTCTAGGCTCAGAGGAAAGCTTACTTCCAGCAGATGTCGTCTTAATAAGAACCTCGTTTTCCTTGGGGGTAGGAATAGGTCTTGTGACTTTCACCACTGGCTTGCCAGTCTCTTGTACGATGATTGATTGTTGTGTTGATGCCATTGTTTCGGTTTAGATGCTTGTTATCTTCTTTGATTCTGTATCTTCCATGAGGGCTCACTATAGGAATATATATATATATGCGAAGCCTGAATGTCGTGCTCTCTGATCACAAATCAAGAAGGATCAATTGATTAGTGATCATTCATTCGGCGCTTGGGGTCCGTCAGCAAATTGAACATGTTTTGTCAGCAACTATGAGCCAAGAGATATCAAGTTGACAGCACCATGGAAACTCACAGATTTTTTATAATAAGATCTCTTTATAAGGATACGTTGTTCAGTCCTCGAAGTTTTGAGGCCTAAAGAGGATCTATATTCTTAAATTCCTTTTATTAGAATATTCTTACATCTTTGAATTCTAGAATTATATCTATTCTTATTAAACTAATAAAATCAATAGTATCTAATACTACCTATACGATAGACTTTCATTATTTCAATAAATAATAATAAAAGTTACAAAATTATCATAGAATATAATCTAATAGGAACTAATTGAAAGTATGTTACTATTAGGTCAGGATTAGTCGGATACCTCTCTACACCCTTAAAAACAACTACAAAAAACGATATCCTTATAAAGCGATTTATCATACAATCGTGAAACTCAGAATCTGTTAACAAACGATGATTTATCAGCAAATCTGACAAATGCGGGGATAGGTTTGACCGCTGACAGCCCGCCAAGATGGGGAAACGCGAAAGTGGGGCCTCACAACCTCATCTTCTATGTCCTATATCCTATCTCCTGCTTGTGTAACTCCTTCGGTCTTTTGTTTTCGTGCTTTACTGGACGTATATAAAGCTGTTATTTAAACATAAAACTCTACTTTTACCAGAAAGCCTAATTTCAAGATACTGATAACTTCTTGACTTCTTGATAGTCTCAACATACGGTCCAGTGGAGATAGAATTGGATAGGTAGAATTGGGTAGGTAGAATTGGGTAGGTAGAATTGGGTAGGTAGAATTGGGTAGGTAGAATTGGGTAGGTACTACCTATCGAAGCTAACATCTAATCCATCTGGAACCCTTAAATACTTTGTCAAATGAGGGATGGGGCTAGATTCCAGGTTGTCTAAGATTGAAAGCTGGAATACATCAAGTAACTGAATATATTTGAATGGCTAATCAGACTGAATGGCTGACAGCACCAAAACTTCTAGCATGACATACTTATAATCTTCTAGACATAGTCAATAGAACACTGGTATAGAATTGTACTTCTTTTGAACACTCACAAATATGAAAGACGCAATGATTCATGAATAATTTGGTGTGCGTATACGAATCGTTAGGCTAGTATCAAGAATCCATAGAATAAACAATGTGACAAAATGCAAATTATGTACAAAGATCTGTTATACCTGATTCATAACATCAATCTTCTTGTCGTTCAAAGATATCCTTCCACACTTCACGATTCCCTCGCTCCTTCGTATCTGTTTAGCAAGCTTCCGTCAGGACGACAAGCTATAGGGAATCCATGCTCTCCGAATCTCAGAATTGGCTTATAATCAACAATTTCTATTGGCCTCTGGGCCCAGAAATATGAGTCGGGCATCGAGAGTTGCAAATCTTTCGGAGGCGTAACTATGACTTTTTCCATCTTCTCCCCAGTATAGAAACTGCTCACAACCCAAGCGATATAAGCCAGATTGACGTCGACCTTTTCCCAATAGCTTCGATTGCGTATAATTTGCTGATGGTGAGAAGAAATTATTGCTTGAGCTCTACGGAAATCCGCTTTAAGGCTCGGAGTCAAAATTCTCATCATTCTTCGGTGCTCACGCTTCATTTTCTTAAGACCACGTTGGCTTTCCATACGGCTGCATTCGTCTTGACATGAAACTTGAAACCCATATGTGATCCCATCAATAAACGCCGCATTGATTGGTAAAATACGTGCAACCGGTTGTTCGTCCGACTCCCAACCATTTTTTTCCATTGTCCTTGAGCCGGTGATAAGACTAAGGCGCTTTAGATTCGGGCATCTAATTTCAAGTAATTCCCATATACTCTTTTTCCCCCCGTAATATGATGGTAGACCTGACCGTCCTGTATATGACGAGCCGAGTGCGGTATTTATAGCGATGCTCTCAATCAAAGATAGATCCAAAGTCATGAAATCCCAATCCCAAAGTATACCTGTGATCTTGCGAAAATATGGTATCATCAATGTATCCTGGTGGAAATCTATGTATCCTTTGCGGTCAATCTGAATTTTACAATCCACCACATAGTCATCAAGTATCTCTTCGAATTCCAAGCGGTATCTTACAAATTCCAAGTTGAGATCACATCTCTGGACTGGAACGCTCAAGTTCATTTTAGAATATTTTTTCAGAAAGAGCGAGTGTGATTCTTGGCAGACGTAAAGTAAAGAGATCGGAAGCTTGGAAGCAATGGGGCCATGTTGTCGTATATGGCATGATAATTCTAGTCCATGTTCACCGTCGCTTTTGTTAGGCTTGTGATATTTCCGATCGATTTTAAGTTTGACATTTCGAGGATTGCAGCTTAAAGCAAAGTCCCAAATCATATGTTGAATTTCAGTTGGAAGTTTGGGGAATAGGGCGAACGAATCTAAGATTGGAACGATAGCGCAATAATCCGTGGGCCAGGCTATTTGGATAGCATTTGTTGGAAGATCGTGATAAAACTTAATCTTGGAGATTTGCCAGGTTTCTGAAACTGTCAGTGGGTAAAAGATGATTATCATTGTGTGTAGCTTACTTGGACAATATACAGGTTGGGTGTTAAGTAAAACCTGGTTCACCTGCACCCCGTCGTCCTTTGCCTTAAACTTTACATCAGAGTGATCGTTTTTCACTTCGTCCCGCCATCCTATTCTCAATGGTTTATATTTCTGCTTTACAAAAACATATCTTGATCGAGCTGGAACTCTGGAAATACCTCCTGTGGGATATTGAGCGTATTCCTCCACCGTTGATAAAATCATGTGGTTTGATAGGTTTCCCAAGTCGTACCAATCACCGGAAGTTGGTTTCATGGCTTGGTCGGTACTAATCTCTGCTTCGAGATCTTTAATTGTGTCTGGTGATTCGGATTTGTTGGTTGATGGGTAGTTGCTGATCTTTAAATATGTATTAGGAAGAATATGAAAAAGCAATTCCTCAGGACACAAATAGCCTTGCTGTAGCAGTGCCAAATAGTTAAGTGAATGTTGCATTTTCTGCACGTCTCCTGAATTTTGTTGATATTAAGAACGGTGAATATCTCCCCACGTAGACCAGAGCCAACGGTACAAATGCAAAGTAGTATCCAGTCCATGGTTTGAAGTTTAAAATTCACTAAGTATTACGGCCCACGTTCCTCTCATGGTTTCACCTGTTACGGTATGTATACAGTCTGGCGGTCACTGTATCAGACGATGGAAAGCTTGCGTTGATATATTTCAAAATTCACTAGTTAGCTTAGTAAGCCAGAACGCCAATAAGAGTTCTCTCTTCCATTGCCCAGGTGATCCAAGGCGGTGATGAACGTATAGTATGCACATTGTACTACCCATATACGTTCAATAGTTTATACCTATAGGAGATCTGGGACTTGAATCTTGAAACAATACAGACAAGGTCAACCTACTGACTTGACTCTCATACCCCGGAGAATTGGAAGTTTCTAGCTAATACTTGCGACGACATGCTGTACTTAGTATGCTCCTAGAATTATTTTCCAAATCTATGTAAATCACTTGCAGTATTCATATGGCAGAGGTGAATATCGTTGAACTGAAAATCTTTCAGTATTCCTACCGCATTGTGGATATCGATAAAGCTGACGGTATGCCCAAAATTGTCAAATGGATTGACCAGGAGATTTGGAAAAACAGCGCCGTTGAAAGAATCTGTAGTTGATATCTTAGCAAGAAATCACATCGGAGTTGCTCGCAATTAAGCATATCATGTCTTTGAGAAGTTCTGATTGTTTCATCCTCAAATAAAAACGAAATCCAACAGGATCATTCACTCCCCTCAGATTCACGCTATATACATAAGTAACCTTCAATTCGAAAACAAACAACATAGTGCAGTGGTCAAGCCATCGGCTTCTACTTTCCATCAGATCTCAAAAAACTTCATTGTAACTAACATGTTATATAGAGTTTTCGAAATCGCAAGTGTTCGCCGGCCTATGGTTCTGGAGTACCCACGAAACCTAAGGTAGACCATGTGACCCTCACTAATGATATGGCTCGGCATAGTGTACAAAATGGTTACTGGGGCATCTTGAATGAGATTAGATGATGTGGAAATCGAAAGTGGGCCCGCTGGAGATGGTAAGTTGTTGTTTCATTTGTGTTGATGGTTTGAGCACTCACTATATTTTTTGTGGTTTTTTGGAGCGCTTAAAAATTGTTAGGATGGTGTTTTTCAGAATCGCATTTGTCATTGCAGTTCCCTCTGATCATATGTACTTTCCACATTTCTTTAATTCGTCAACACTTCCCTCAAACCCGAATGCAACGTGCCGAGGAGACTCATCAGATCCTATCTTCTCGGGAGCCTGTTGTGATACCAAAGGTCCAAACCTTAATTTTGGGTTTTTGATACTTTTAGGCAATGGATCAGATCCCAACGACTTCCCTCTTGCCAAAATATCCAAGTCTGAATTCCTTGTTGTAAGCATGATGGCGGAGAAGGAGTTTGAATGCGAAACGCCATTAGCATGCATTGAGTAAAGACCAATTGCACCACAAAGGCTTGCCAGAAAGAACCCGATCTATAGGAAAGAACGAGGTAGAGCGGATGATAGACGTAGAAATTCCTAGTGTCTGAGGTGGTAACATTCGCATATTCTGTGCTGCTACTAGTGAGATTGGGAGAACCAAGATAACCTATGGTGATATTGATGGAAAGATCCTCGATTGCTCTCATGAAGGTTCGATTGCGACACTGCCATGGCTCGACTTTAAAAATAGCCTCAATGGGGGGATTTGAAGAAAATAGGGACTCAAATGTGAAGCCTTTATGTCGTCGCATGCGGTAAATAGACGGAGGAGAGGATTGTCGATCAAATAAGGGATCCAAACCGTGCGATCGATGTCTGACGCTCTGCTCTGTACCGAGATATTCCCTGACAACACTCTCGCGAAATTGTCAAATTTATCTTTCATCAAACAGCTGGGTGATCCACCACATTGAGGTATCTCATTTAGGTACTGGGTGCTGCGTTGCGTGGTTTCTTGATTGCCGTAGGCAGAAGCGATTGTAACAGCAATAGAAGCATTCATGGCTGTACATACAATGCTTGACGTCGAACTTTGTACGAAGACATGATAACCAGTTGAGTTTTTAACATACAGTTCATACAGAGGAAATGGGACATTGGGGTCGTTTGACCGAAATGAAAAATAGAAGAGAAGGTAATGTAATTTTGGATCTGACTTAGACATTGTGTTGTTCCAAATCGAGTCATTGATTTGAGGGGCAATAAACCCTGATTGGAATTTTTCAATATAATGCGCTAGTTGATCGAAGATAGCTTGCTCAGTACTTTCAGCTTCTCTACACTTGAGTGTGAGACCAAAGAACTGCATATCATAGGACCAGATTTGAGACGCGATTGAAAAATCCAGAGGTACCACATCAGCTAGAGATGCTGACTTTCCTGCAATTTTTTGTGAGATACTGTAATCTACTACAGGTCTAAGCGAATGCGTATCAAGCAAAAATTTGGTTCCATTCAATACTGGAATTGGCACTGAAATAGTAATATTGACTGGAATGACAGAGAGTGTAGCTGCGGGAGCGAAACTAACGAAATCCATGGTCCTAAAATGCACATTAGTGACTTAAACTGTAGACTTTGTCGATAATTTATTCACACATTGAGCTGAAAGTCAGAGCCAAACTTCTAGCGTCATTTTACCCTCAAGTATTCCAGCATGTTCAAGAGCCTCCAGCCACCTCTTGTGTAGAAAGGGCTCATATAGTTGTTTTATAACTATTCCTTCAGGTCCAGAAAAGTCTCGGACTTTGGGCAATAGTCACATACCAGAAAATTGTGCCTAGTAAAGCTGCCAGGGAAGCATTCTTGATAACGGAAACACTGAACATGCTAATCGGGTTACTTGTGAGCGCGAATAACCTGTCGAGATCACCTGCAGTTTTCTCAGTACTTTGTCTAGAAGGAGCGATCCTTTATCGGCAATGAGGAATAATACATACTAATGTTGAGACCTTTCGACCTTACGACGCTCCAAAGATACTGCCCCAATGCGGAGACAGTAACGGCTTTGAAAAATGCGACGACAAGAAATGCGAAGGCTGTCCCAAATCGAATTGACCAAGCTTGCCTTGTGGCATCCCCTGCCGGAGTCCCACTTAATGAATGGTAGTAAACATGATGTCCAATTGCCAGAATCAGACCACACAATAGTATCGAGCACATAAAAGTTGGTTGTTGCCAATTGATCTTCCAAATTACAGTATCTATCGGCAGATTTGTCATTGATGGGTTGGTATTCTGTAAAAGTTGTGCGGGAAGGTTCAAATTTGTACTTTGTGCGGTTGAGGAATTCGAAAAGCTGCTCACTTGCTGCCACGATTCTGGTCGATTTGGAGTCGATAATAGAGAGTCCGTAACTGAGTGTTGCGAGTTCCTTCTATCGTGGCTCGAGACTCTCGAAAGATCATCTAGTCGTAGGTCCATTCCATGATCCTGAAATGAAAAGTCTGGCGGCTCAAATTCGCGATCATTGTTGACTCGAAGTAATTCCATCGCCTTTTTCCTGTGTTTTGAATTGAGGAGATATACTTCAAATGTTTCCAAAATTTAGAGTACGCGTTGCGCAATGTTGAAAATGGAAACAATATTTCGTCGCTAAGTAAATGTCAATCATTTTGATCAATGACATGTTAACACTAAGCCTGATCTCCATGATATTCGTAAGCACCCTGCATAACACATGTAGAGGCTGAAGTTGTAATTCAAACAAGAAGCTGAATGGTGGCCTCCAATGTTACCGAGTCTACCAAACAGAGTGAGTCTTGGGAGTGCAGCGCTGCGGCGAGTGCTGCCTTTCAGAGGGATTTATTCGTCTATTCTGTAACACAACATACCTTTATTGAATTCTGCATGAATTTTAACAAACGTCGAGGCTGATTCTTACCGAACTTTGCTCCCAGCCACAATTTCATGGGGAACCCCAATACAACAATCTCTAATTCTTCAAAACATTTCAACGAAAAATCTTTCAGTTCTTTGCCACCTCCTGAATAACGGAAATCCATTCCCTTGAATCACTTTTCACATACCAACTCTAGTCCTTCAAATTAATCCTTTCACGTCTTTGACCAGTCGGACGAAGATTACCCGGAACCTGAGAGATGTACTGCGAATATCCAGTTCGAAGTCAATATAAATTATTACATCATGATTACCCTGAGGTTTTGATATCATCTATATGGGGATCGAAATTTGAAACGATGAACTGAAGGCCAAATTTAATCAAGGCAAAGTGGAATGGGGTCGGCCCCTTCGTATAAGAGTTTGACCGAGTTGATAGCCTTGCGTGAATCCCTAGGTACTCAGCCGACTACTACTTATCTCCATTTCTCTCTTGTTTTCTCCTAGCTGATTCGACCTCTTTAACTTTCTTTTGACTTCTCCATCGTATTCCATATTTCATAATTATTATCAATATCGGGCTGTAGATCAAAAACAGAAGGGCCATGATCGTATATGACCACTATAAAAATGTCAGTACATATTCAATCCAATAGTCATATGAGAAGAACATGCCGTTGCTCTGTTAAGCCCTAAAGGAAAACCAAACTTACCCCGGTACCGATGGCATTGACCATAGGGACAATAACCGCAGTCGCAATCGCTCCCAGTTCACATCGTACCACATTGTTTGCAGCTGTAGCTGTAGCTGGTCTACCAGGATAGATATCCACCATCAAGATATTGAGGACTTGAAAACTTGCAACCAGAGCATACCCTATCACAAACAACAATATCACTGGTCCAGCGATACTAACATGGTGACCCATCACCCAGCCATAAGCAATTATGGCTAAAGCACCGAGATAGAACAACGGGAGTGCAATCTCCAGTCGCGCTTTCTCGATTGGAAAATTGGTGAGATCCATTTGACGATTTTTGACGAGTGGAAAGTTATGAATTTTGGCGTATCGGCGATAGTTGAAGTCTACTATCTTCCCAGTAGTAAAAGCAGAGATAAGGGATCCTGCACCGACAGGAATGAACATCAATGATACTTTTAACTGTGAGAATCCGTACAAAGAGCCAAATTGTGATGAAGCGCCCGTAGAAATTGCATAATAGCAAGCTAGACTTATACCCGCTGCGCCTAATAATAGTCCTGCTTCTTTATCCGCAAGAACTTTAAGTGTAGATAGTGGATTTGGGACCTGTAGCTTGTAGTTCTTGCGCAGGGCTGTAAACTTCTCTGCATCCAAGGGAATTCCTTTCTTACGACGATTCGAATGTCGTATGTGGTCTGTAATGTTCATGCAGAGAAATGGTGGAGGTATGGAACCATCGTCAACTAAATTTCGACAAGTTTCCGGAAGAAATAGAATAAGAGGTATAAATACGATGCATGAATATATCAAGAGAAACCAAAAAATCCAATGCCAACCTGCATATTGCCCTAATATTCCTCCAATGATAGGAGCAACCATAGGACCAAGAATACTACCAAGAGAAGCCCATGCAACGTAAGTACCGCGCTCAGAAGAAGTGATGATATCACCAACTAACCCATTTGCAAGAGCTACTGTACCACTACTTCCTGCGCTTTGCAAGCAACGTAGGGCCATCAACGCTGGGTATGAATTTTGAAGTCCAAGACCAAGAGTTGTGAAGAAGTAAATAATGAAGCAAATGATATATGCTGGACGTCTTCCAGCTTTGTCTGATAATCCCGCAATCATCATAGGTGCTAAGCCTTGAATAACCTAGAGACTGATTAGAACATGCAAATACAGAGAAAAGAGCGAATGACGCATACTAAGAACAAAGTAACCGTAAGACTGATTTTAGCATCTGATACATGAAGGTCTTTTGCAATTTGACTGAGAGATGGATAATATATGCTCGTTGACATGGGAGAAAAGAGGCTTGCCATGGACCCGGTAAGGACAATCATTTTCTTTTGAGAGGTAGAGAAGACGCTATATGGAACATCGGATACTGCATTGGGTTCCGTATTCTCAACCGTTTCGGAAGGTGGTTCGAGTACTTCATTATCATTGTTTTTGATCAACTTCTCATCACCGATTCTGCTATGAGGCTGAACGCTCGTGACATCGGGAGAGATGGGGTTCGCTTGAGGGTTGGAGGGTTTCTGAGCACCAGTCTCGGGAACAAGACCAAGTTGACTAGTAGATGAGATTTTGGGTTCTTTCTCCATCGTAGAACGTAGAATTTCACAATAGTTTTAATAGCCATCGCATTTCACAATCATAATGTGTTGAACTTTATATCTCTTCTCATGACACCCAACACGGCAAATATTCACCGTCTATCGCCGGATTTAAATAGTTATCTCCAAAGATTGCAGGGGCAACGGAGCCGACAAATTGCGACACGTTGATCCAACAGAAATTCGCATACATCATGACTAGTGCCTGGTGACTGACCAAGTGCAAACCTCGAAAGTTAAGTATGATGATCATACTCGAAGATAGTATCGCTTCTCTTCAAGAAGCAGCAACATCAAGAACAAGAACCCCCATTCTGAGCTTGAGCCCTGTCGATAACATGCAGGCACATTGATGCAGCCATCTCTCTGGGGAAACTTCTCCGCATTTTCTAAAACCGTTGCCCATACTAGGTATGCTCAATGCTCATCGGGAGGTTTATCAGACGCAATACCCCATACATGGTATAGATGCTCATCTTTGACAAGTTTCTTTTTGAAAACGGCCTGTATGAAATACTGTGATACCACACCATAGAGACCCATCATCGTCGCCGCATAAGCCATCGTGTTGTCCGGGCACTAAAACATTATGTTGTGATTGGTGTTTGCTGAATTGTATGGTGGATATTGCTGTCAAGCTAGCTGCAGCTACCCAGCCACCAGCTAAAAACTGTCTGCTTCTCATCTCCCCCGCGAACCAGAAAACTGTCATGCTTGGTTCTAGGTTTCTTTGATTAACAATCCTGTATTATGATCTTATATTCTCAGAAACATCAATGAATTATCAAAAGCTTCATTGTTGAGAGAATCATTGTTTCTAACAGTTCTGCCCCAGCTAATTGGCTTCACCGCGTTGGTTACCTAGCGAACCCATCATAATTATTTACAACTTTGTGCGATAAGCACATTTTCATAGTCGAGATCCTTCCCAGCCGCCATATTATAATCTTCCAGAACAACATTTCTTCTACATTCTCCTCTATTTTCGTTAATAATCTGGAATGCGACAAGATTATAATTATCTCGAATTACTCTACGGATTTTGAAATTATCTGCCATTAGGCGGCAGATCCGCCCGTCGCAATGGCGACTGATGATCTCTCTCCACCGGGGAGCAGTACATATTCATCAAATACAATGTATGTTGGAGATGGGACATGGGATGCTACGAAAAATGATTTCTTATTGCCCAATTTGATGGGCTTGAATTTTGAGACGATGAGATATAATGGTGAGTGAATCTCTGCCAGCATCTAGTTTGTTGAGATTACGATGAATGACCGAGCTGACTGTAAATAGGAATGGGAAATAGATTCGCGACAATGCCTGGATATAAAGGATTAATTACAGCTCATGGTGTCCTTGCTGCAATGACCTTTCTATTCATCGTACCTGCGGCGATATTCATTGCGAGATTTTATGGCCGGGATATACGAAATGCGATTCGATATCACATATACTTGCAAATCATGACGCTTCTTCTATCAACGGTTATTTTCATACTTGGATGGATGGCAGTAGGCAATGCGCGAAGTTTAACGAATCCTCATCATGGTATCGGATTGGCAATTTATGTTCTCATCTGGGTACAATTCTTATCGGGCTGGTTGACACATAATTCGGAAAAGAAACGAGTTTTGAGAAGGATTCCATTAAAGGCTGTGTTGCATCAATGGATAGGTCGTGCAACAGCACTTCTTGCAATTGCACAAGTACCTCTAGGACTGACTTTATATGGATCGCCAAAATACCTCTTTATACTATTTGCGGTCTGGATGGGTCTCTTGGTATTACTATACTTCATTCTTTCCTACAGGGCACTACAGGCGCTCCCTGAAGTATTGCGAGAAGGAAGTCGACATGGCGAGGTAATTCAAGAGAGAAGAAAAAGTTCATTTGGCATAGGAATACTTGGTCCATTACTCGCAGGTGCCGGAGCTGCTGCTTTACTCGGAAATCGAGATAGGAGTAGAAGTAGGAGTCGGAGCCGCAGTCGCAATCACAGTAGAATTCGAGAAGAAGTTATACCTTCGCGCAGGGGCTCAAGATCTCGACGCGGATCAGTAAGTTACGTCGAAGAAGAGAAATATGAGTCTAGGAAAAAGGAAGGTGGCGGCGTTATGAACTCATTATTCAAGGGTGCGGCAGTTCTTGGAGCTGGTGCGCTGGCGAAGAGTTTCTTCGATCGACGACAACGAACAAAGCATGAGGACGAATATTCGTCTGTTGCTCCGGATACTCCAGGTAGAAGGCAACATAGACGCAATGACAGCGAATATAGCGATTCAACTCTTACAACCGAACAAACAAATCATTATGAAAATCGCCGAGGAAGTCGTTCCATCTTACCTGGACCTGGAGCTCCTGCGGCTGCTATTAGTGCTGCAAAAGCACGTCCAACAACTCCAAGACCCGTAACGCCCGTAACTCCGAGACCAGTACGAAGTCAAGCTGGCCGAACTCATAGTTTTGATTCTATGAGTTATTCCTACGATTACGGATCTGGTACTACAGATAGCCCATCTCGAAGACCACAAGAAAATAATGGACTACGAAATGGATTACTTGCTAGTTTGGGAATAGGCTGGTTTGCCAAGAAAATGAAAGATCGTAGAGAAAAGAAGGAAATGGATCGTATTGAACGCGAGGAAGATGAAAGATACGAGCGAGAGAGAGCTTCTCGACATATTAATCAAGGTTCACATTTGACAAGCGACGCGTTTCCACCAAGAACTCATATCAGACAAAGTTCAATAGAGTCATCTGAACTTTCATCACTTGTCCATCCTCATCCCGCACCTAGAGCAACGGTATCAGTACCAGCTCCAGTTCCGGTAAATATGGGTCAATCTCGCTCTCACCATGATGTCGTTACAGAAACAGTTTCAATGCCTCCTATGCCCACCGATCCACGTGGCATTCTTCATCAACCTTCCGATAGTGATGTTACTCCAACCCCTGGTCGAAGTCGTCGCCGATCATCTATTCGAAGAGAGGAAGGAGAAGCTGCTGCTGCCGCCGCTGCTGCTGGAGCTGCTGGTCTTGCCGCAGAAGAGGAACGTCGTCGTCAAAGATCCCACTCTAGATCAGCAGTTGCAAGTCCACCTGTCAGTGTTAAAGTCAAAATGCATGGCGATAAAGACCGCAATGTTACTTTGAGACGTCTTACAGAACAAGAAGCTGCGGCAGAACGTGCCTCGCGAAGAGCTCGAAGTGGCCAAAGACGTTCGCGAAGGGATTCAACAAGTGATTTCAGTGATGGCGAAGTATCATCCAGGTATAGACGAGAAGCTGAGAAGAGAGCTGAGAGAAGAGCTGAATCAATGGTTAGAGATAAACATGAAGAAGCTGGCATTCCACCACCACCAATAGGTCCTCTTACACCACCCAACCCTGCATTTGCAGGTGGAAAGAAACCTAAAGATTCAGGTTACTACTCTGGACGACCGCAGAGTTCTGGTAGACCACAAAGTGCTGGTAAGCTAGATCCGAGTGTTGCCGGAGGAAGTATATTCGATGCAGGAAGGAGTAATATGTCGGAAGATACTCATGGTACATGGAGTGCCATGAGTCCAGATTCTGGTACTGATCACGCGAGAGAAAGGCGACAAAGGAGGAGAATGGAGAGGCAAAGACAAAGTATAGGAGCTGGAACGGCTGGCACAGTTGATTTTACTTGAGTTTTGATCCTCGAGTTGTATTATTGTTTGGTGTTTGGAGTTGGCAAAATAGGGCTGGACTATTTGCTCTTTTTATTGATGAAAATATAAAGTGGATGAGATGGTAAAACGGAACGATATGTATGAAGATGTTGGCTTATGTTCAAGCCTTTAGTACATGGCTGATGAGATTATGAATGAAAGCGGGATGGGATGCGATATGATACGATATGATTTTTTCCTCAAGGAAAATCCTCAGCGATGCGGTTAGGATAGGCGAGCAATCTGGCATAGATACCTACGTACCTACGTACTTTTTCTGCATGTTATTTTAGTTTCTTGTTTTTCTACTTAATTGATATTATTAATTTTGCAAGTGATCATTTTATACATGAAAGTGATTGCCGCTGTGTGGAATTGTGAAGGACTAGGCTAGTGCTTGCTTAACCTTGGTATTGGTTTGGATCGAAGTTTACGGATGGGATTTCCTGAGTCTGGGGTTTCATGAGGGGCTGGTGGGCTGTAGGGGTTTAAGTTTTCTACTTGCTGTTTGCTGTGTGATTTTTGGTGTTTCGGATAAGTGTCCAAGTACATCATGAATTTAAGGGGTGTAGTCTTAATTTGATTTGGTTCGCGTGCTTGGTGAAGTGGATCATCCTGAGAGAATTATGAAGTTAAGGGGGTAGGGAGGGCACTCTTCATTTTCGGCTACAAATTTTCTCGAGTGAATCGTGGATTTAAGGGGGTTTAGTTTTGTTTGTTGGGTTTGGGTAATATCTTGCTCGGATATAGATATTCGGTTGGTCGGCTGGGCTGATTTTTCAATTTTGTGCAGAATTTGTTTACTCCAAACCTTATTGTTGGTTGATAAGTGTAAAGTACTTTGCTCTATCATGTTTGTAATTGCGCTTGATTATTATTAGTTATGCCTGAAACTACTATGTCAGTATGAAGTAACGTAGGTGATAGTGAAAGGGGTTTAGAACATATTTAGGTAGCTCACTATCATCAACAATTCGACCAAGTTTGTATCATTTAAAACTACCCAAGCTTAGGCACTCTGATAAATAGTAATTTGAACACTTTTGATTGGCTATAACTGTATATAATCCAGAACTATATGCCCACAAAGGAAAAAAAGAAATTACGCAGAGTACATCCTTTCGCTTCTAAGTGTGCTTAATTACCTTCGCTATCTCGTTTCAGGCTCTGTATACAATGCACACGCAATATCAACTACCTATAAGAAGCTAGTACCTATTTAAGGAAGCGCTAGCGCCTCGCTGGCTGATTACAGTGTGACCTGTTATGATCACATGATCGAATTCCCGACACGTAGTTCTATCCAATGAATGTACAGAAACATCCCGGTGAAAGAAATTTGTGGTAGATATCTAGGATATGCCAAGCAACGATCTTCCGTCGTGGAGAACATCAGTTACGACAGTGATGCCGTTTGTTATAGCATCCATGCGCCGAGAGAGTTGTGGTTCCCACACAGTGTAATAACTTTCCGATTCTTCTGCATATAAGTCCTTCATCTCAGACACATAGTTCAACGACTTTCTTTCCCGAATGTAAGTTGTAATGGTGTCCTTATACATTGAGGGGTCGGAAATTTCCATGAAAAGATAATCTAGAAGTGGTTAGCGAGACTGAATCTTCACAGTTTCATGGAGGGGAGAAAGTTATTACCCATGTGTATAAGCATTTCAATGATTTTTCCACTTATCATTTGCTTGAGCTCGTTCGATTCTTCATGATCCTTGATCCTCAATCCCGCATCTTTTGCATAATTCATACAATTCTGTTAACTCCTCAGATAGGATTTCGTAGAGATCCTGGAGCTGCCCTCTGATATTAAGTGCTTTCAAGTTCCATGCAGATTTGTAGGGATTTTTATCTAAATTCGTGCAGCGAATGGGAGTTTTCAAACCATGCAATAAGGTAAGATACAGAGTGCCGAGATCCTTCAAATCACGAGCCCTAATTTTTTCCTCATGTAACTCCAGTTGAGACTTGTTACCGTCTTGAGGATTTGGATCGAGCTGTTCTCGTTGATTTTGACACTCATACCACAGTTCCATGCCCTCAATCATCCGTTTTCTCTTCGTAAGAATCACGAAGGTCATCCTCGGGTCATTTTCAATCCGGGGTATTTCCTCGCGAGTGCCTGGGACGTGGATAGCAATGGGATTATAGATATCTTTCGCTTTGAGCTCAAAGCCCTCTTTGCCACCATGGAAATACCATCTCATGGCGTTGGTGAAGTCCATGTGATTAGAAAGGTTATTGAAGTTATAGCGACCTAAATATTCTTCCATGTCTTCTTCGATAATCTCCCAATATCTATTTACGTCGTTGGGGAGGTAGGTGATGAGCTGGGGTCTTGGTTCATGGAGTGGTCTGCCTCCCATAAGTTGTAACTTGATAGCATTAATTCGTCGAGCAGCATCATTGTAAGTCGCAAACATCCCGTGGATTGTCCATTCTCTCATTGTGTAGGTTAATTGGATGTAGTGAGATAATCAAAAATAGTGAATGCTTGAAGAAGTATTTTGTCGAAGGAGAAAGTTTCAAAGCTCTGTGCTCAGTCCTTCTTTCCCAAGAACGATGATAATCAATCGGAAGTAGAAGGAGATCAAAAGGCACATCATGGCTTCACCTTCCTTTGTCAAATACTAACATACTCTGTCATTTTGGCATCTGCAAGTTGCAACGCTACTCATTGATATCATCTATATGTGAACCCTGATACTCCCATGTTTCCTATACAATTTAAGCTTGAATTCAGATATGTCCCAACTTTTCCAAGTATTTCGCACACCTTAAGTACAAGATTCCGCATGAAACTTTCTACCACGATGCAAGTCTCATCATCCGTCCCTTCCCTGTATGCCGCCAATACCAATAACTTCTTGTGACATATACTGCGACATCGATAGTAAATGACCAGGCGTTTGTTCAAACAGTCTCTCCGGTGTTATTTGTTGTTGAATCCTCTTGGCTGTTGTTCGATGTTGAATCACGAGGAAACTTAAGAAGTTGACGCATCCATTGAAATACATTTCCAAAAGCAACAAAAATCTTCCAGAAAAACTGACCTATCCACTGGAATAAACTTCTAAAGTGAACAAGAAACCATTTGGAAATGATTGTCATAGAATAGCTAGATGAGTAAGATATGATTAGTATAGCTCCTTGTGTTGGGTAGCCTGATATGTATTTCATGGCGAAACGTACATTGAAATCCACCATTCCGAAGGTTCTCCGTCACCTCTCTTGGGGCCAAAAGTCGATTCAAATCTCTGGGCCCGCTTGTCCCACTCAGATTCGTCCGGCTGCCAAACTTCTTTGTCATCCGCGCTCTGTTTACATATCTGCTTTATCACCCCTTCCCTAAACGGCTCATAAACTCTCGTCGACTGCTTTACAATGTTGCCGAGATTGAAGACAATCATGTATGTTACGAACCCAACAAGAATAGTTGTGAGTATGAAAGGGCTTCTTGTACTACTGCTGGTGATGTCGGGGATCGCCCAAAGTGCCTGCAGAGCTATCAGTACCCATCTGTAGCTTTATCTCGATAGATTTGCGCCGACCATTAAAGAGCCAGATAGTGACGAGGAAGTTAAGGGCAATTGTCTTTATGGGGTACTTACAGCACAAAATGCTAGTGGCAAATAGAAGATGCTGACATAAGTCAGTAGCTTGACGTTTTCTCCTAGCCGTGTCGACGCTCTGCTTTCCATGAGAGCGCTAGCATTGAACAGCTAAACACAACAAAATTTGTCAATCAGGAACTACAGACAGTATATGAGGTATCCACTAAAGCATAATTATCAAGGAATCACTTACTCCATCCCGGAAAGCTTGTGCAGTCTCTTGTTGGTGCTTAAATTGCGATTGCCAATTTATCAAGGACTCCACCTCAACATCAATTTTCTTGGCCAGATTTTGGATCTTCATCAGGCTGTCTCGAGACAAATCACCATGATTTCTTTCAAGATACGATTCGACGCGCGCCTCGCGAAACAGCGTCCATTGTTTGACGTTGTCTTCGATGCTAATTTGAAATTCATTGACACACCCAATCACCCAGAAGTACAGCCTAGATTGGCTGAAATTCTCATCGTCAAACAAGAGTTCGACGTAAGTCGCGGGATCCATAAAATCTTCATGTAGCAGGCCTTCTATATGCTGATACAGCTCGTCCCACCGTTTAACAACCAATCTCATAGCGTAAAGGATGCTGGTAAGCTCCGCTGTTAGCATGCACCTTTGAATTGCAATATCTCTCATGCCAGCGTTGGATGAATGCGAAGAAAAATATTGTTTAAATTCATGAGACTCAAAGAAGTCAGAAGGAGACAGTAACAAGAAGGTCCAGCAGAGCTCTGATTCTTCTTCTTGGGGGTCTTTACGTGACTCCGACTTTGTAAACATCTGCTTCATTGGAGTTAATCGCTTAGTGTATCAATGGCGAGGGCTTACTGTGAATGCACTTCTTCGAAAAGCTTCAGCTTCACCTTTACTTTTAGCTGTCTTCAGGTAAAGTTTTCCAGTTTTCCAGCTTTCGCTTCTAGGTATCCTTCGAGACACAATCTTCTCGTAGAAAACAATGTGAAAACCATTGTTTTGATCGTAATATGGATTTGCGGATTTGCTACCTAATCTTTTCGAGCAATTAAGGTGAAGTTGAATTGTCATTTCAATGGGACCAGATGAATATAGGATTCTATCAGAAATCAGGTAAGGAAAGGAACAGAGAATTCCGTTGTCACAATCGTTTCTCGGGTCCACTACCGATGAAAGGCCTTCGCACCATCTGTTGGTAGTCAGAGCAGTAACATGATTCGTTTCCAGTACTACATACATAACTCTTCTCCATTGATCAATGAGCCATTTGGGAGCAGTATCCTCCTGTCTTTCTCTCTTCCAAGGGTGTCTGTATTGGACTTGGATTTAACACAACCACGTCCATTGTTATGTAAAAGCAATCGGGGGTACTAACTGGGTGCTTGAGACTTCGAATAATGTGACATTCTTCCTTTCAGGCTGATAACAGGCAAGAATTGGCTTCGCTGGGTTGGCAAGATTGCTGTCCAGAATCTCGAATCGAAAGTGATAATTCTTGATTATAGAAAATTGTTTCAGTCTCTCTATCGTATCCTCCATTCCTAATCCTGCGAACCGTTTTAAATCGAATGACAGTACAATTCTACCATCGTTGGGTACTAATTGACAAGCTCCAATTTCTCTGATTATCTGTTCTATGGCGGCGGCTTCTAGTTTTCCTGATCCCAGTCTTTCCAATAGAGAAAGATCTGGGAGAGATGGTGATACGTACGCCGAAAATTCCTGGTAAAATGTATTCTATGAGTGATGGTTAAACACCAAGGCAATAAATAAAGTGCTTACTTCCTACAATCATGAGCGATCAACATTAGCAATATTTCAAATCAAGGTACTAAACACATAAGTACCGTTCGCTATTGTAGAATGTACTAACCTGCTGCAATCATCGGAACAAGATTAACCATCATGTACATCAGATAGAATACAAAATCAGCCAGCAAGATTTACTTACATCCTGTCATAAATTAGCGGCTACTTTCTTCAAAAAGAATCTTTTCTCACCTGACCAGGTTCAACTACATCAGAATTCGCTGCACTCTCCGAATCCATAGTTTCTGTACCAAAGTACTAGAAGTCACGCAACCCCTTCCACGGGTGTATTGCTAATCCGGTGATATAAGGAAATTATGTTAAAGTTTCACAAGTATCTTCAAAATCAAAGCAAAGAATACCTGTTACAAATGTATCTCAAAATGACGAGGAACAAAAGTTGAAAATACGTGCTAGTATCTTGATCTCATTACCTTCACACTATTATAAGGTCAATGATGTTCTTCAACCCTGGATATCAACGACGATCACACAGTGAGTGCGTGTTATTGACGGAATGACACTCTATAACCATGTTGGGCGACCCAATCAAAACAGTACACATAATATGCAGGCGCTCCATATGTCAGACGAATACTACATCAAGTTCAGCCGCATTCTTCCCAATGGTTCTTTAAAATGGAGTAACTGCAAAACCCCCACGCCACCACAAAACAGATTTCAGTGAGCAGCGTAGCATTTGCTGAATCAGGAAAGTTTTGCGACGGGAGAGTGACAAGGATCATACTTCCGGTAAATCATACATGAAGCTTGCGTAATTGGTGCATCGCCAGCTTGAAGTCAACCAACTTACACGTCATGACTTTGAGCTTGTTCTTGTTCTTGATGTCAAAAATATATTGGAATTGGAATATTACACTCTACCACTGAGCAGAATGAGAGAAGAGACAATCCTCAACAAGATATTGAATCTTGGAGGCAAACGTTCAACACGCACATCGTCGCAAAACAAAGCTACAATCAGACTTAATATAGAACCTCGTTGCTCCATATTCTCAGTCCCAATTCAACCCCACAAGTTTGATTGACGGTTCTCGGATCTGATTTGCATTTCCTTAGCGCCTTGAAATCTGACAATTGGTTCCAAAGCACTCGATGTGTCCCGATAGTCTATCAGCTAAATAACCCCTACATTCCAATTAAATTATGCTTCCAGGCCGGTAGAAGCTTTGCAGCTATGCGGGAGCCTAGATCTCAACATTATGTACCGACCGAAATTAAATGCCGAAGACAAGATATCTAAATTGAATTGGAGTTCTGGAGCAGCGGGGTAGCTTCTATCAATTTGCAAGATATTTGATACTCTTGGGATGCGCTATTATGCACGTCATAAACTAATAAGCAGAAAGAGAATCACGTGTCTGACTTCTTGGACCTAAGCGTGGAGCTACTGCGGAACTAGGGGGGCACAAAATGGGCGTTTCCGTACTTCATAGATATCATTTTCCCCAGATACATCAAATCATAAATTATAAGGATCAGCCAATTATTCGACTTCACGATTTCAACAAAATAAATTTCTACTCTACCATCAATAACTACAGCGCATTTAGATGCTCCAATAACGATTTCTGTTGATCATCTCACCGACATCATGAACGACTCCAATATTAGCGACTCCCATTCCTTCGCTTCTGAGTCTTCTGATGATGACGACCGTTCCGAGTACTGAGGCCACGATTGTTGCCTCTTTCGCCGATATGAATATCTCATACCCTCATATTTCTCCGTAGCTGCAGGGACTACGGGGGAGTATCTTGCGGAGGATCTCCTCAAGTTTCAGTTCTTAGCGAATCGTGATTTAGCTTACATATCTCCTACCTTTCAATGGGTATATCCAACTGACAAATTCGATCCTCCGTGGCAGCTGAAGCCGAATTTGGTAATCCCATCGTGTCAGAAACGGACAAAGAAAAGTTAGGCAATATTTCACAATGGATTGATTGTCGCGATATGAACAAATCGGAGTATGAGCAAGAACTCATGTTCACTGGCCTCCAGAAAAGTAAAAAAAACAGATTACTGACATTGTGAAAGAAGAAGCGAACTCTGTGTCCATGTATACAATTGTTATCTGATGCGTTAGTCAAGGTTGTGCCACAACCAATTATATTTTATCGAGTTGTGGTTCTACTGTTAGTGGCTTTATTGACTTATCTCCTTGTTTGTCATTGAGACAGGATATTGAGCGTATCATCTTACAAGGATCACCAGCGATGTCTATCGAGATGATATGAACAAAGTTTTTCAAAGAAGACCAATCTCACGCACAACTCCATTTCTAATTACTAATTCTAGAGATGAAAATACAGTCCCCTCCACACATGAAATAGCTTTACGCTATAAAATCAATCAGTTTTTGTCAAATGTAGATTGGAAAGAGTATGGGGACAGGAACCACCAGGTTCATTCAAAAACATGGGATAGACTACACAGTCGATTTCATTCACAAGTATCTGAAAATCTGATCAAAATCTCATGCTCCATAAGCTTCTTTTGTAAAGAAGCCTGAGATATAGGAATAATCAATGACTCATTAGAGTAATTTAAAACTCTTCCCATAGTCTCAAACAGCAATTCCAATTCCTTACACCTCTGTATATTTTCAATTCTCAATTCCCAATATACATATTATCCACCTTTACAATCAATACATCCCAGCTACCTCGTAACATCACAAGTACCGATAATATCTTAACGATAGTTCTTCAACCAAAGACCACACTTTCATATATCCCAATTCTAGTTCCGTTCTGCGATTATTCTTTAAAATGTCATCAAGGAGCGGACTCCACTAGACAGATTAACCGAACATGAAAAAAGCTAGCCGAGATAACCGATCACGAGATATTCTAACTTCTGAAAGAGTCATGTAGCATTAACATCTCTCATGCTCATTAAAATCTGTAACTAGGTAGAATCTCGATATCATGCTTGATATACTAGTTAACATAAAGTGCACTAGGTAAATAGAGCTTCACTTCTCTTCCCCTTGATTTAATATACGTATATCAGCAAGTATCAATTCGAATATATTTAACAACTATTCAATACATCTACCTAATCAGGCTATTGAGATACAACTCCTCATGTTGGATTTGAAGAATTCATTGTTATTCTTCGAATTAAATGGAGATAACGAGCTGATTCCTCTGAATTGAATATATATATCAAAGATATCATTTCTCGAATTTATTTAGAACATTTCGTGTCTATTCAATCTATTCTATTCAATTCGATTTAATTCAATCCAACCCAAATACATCCTAATTCTCCAATTCAAATCTGTACAACAAAAACGTATTATTCATATAAAAAACAATACTAAGAAAACAATTATACCCTCATATTCTAATGAAAAAACCAAATCCTCCTCTTCAATTCATATACCTCCGATTCATCCCTTTCATTCATAACCCTCTGATCAACCTCCCTCCAACTCATCCCCCCAAATTCCATCCCTCAAAATTCCGAGCCCCCCAAGATCCCCATCCCAAAAAACCTTTCCCCTTCAAGAAGAATCATTAATCTATCAATTCATCAATCTAATACGCACAAATTAAAATCCTCTCACTCTTTCTCCCACTCCATATTCTAAATATATCTAATTACAACACCATATTCTATATTCTATATCTCGAATCCCAAATATTTTCAATTTTCAATAACTTTATCTATTTATTCATTCATTCATTCAAATATCAATAATCCCCAATCATAAACATAACTACAACTACAAACATCAAATACTAAATACCAAAATATTAAAATATGAAAATCTCGAATCTCATTACTTCATTTTATTTTATTTCATTTTAAACTATCTATCTATCTATTTATTTATTTATCAATCTACCCACCTGTCTATTCAACCTACCTATTCAACCCCAACCCTAAACCTCAACATCACTATATTATATATTATATATCTAACCTTCATCCAAACACCTCCCTAATCTCTCCCAAAAAACCTCCACCAAAATACTTCCACCAAAATACTTCCAAGGAAATACCCACTCACCCCTAAAACTCCACTAAACTCCATCCCCCCTCTCCTCTCCTCTCTCCCCTCTCCTTCCCTCTCTTCCTCTCCTCTCCTTTGAAACCCTTCAAATCGCTTAAATAGTTTCTTTCCTACTAACCAATACTAATACTAATACTAATACCAATACCAATACTAATACTAATATTTATCAATCATCAACCATCACCATCTACATTTCTATCTCTATCTTTGTTTTTATCTCTATCTTCATTTTTATCTCCATCTCCATCTCTATCTCCATCTCTATCTCCATTTCTATTTCCATTTCCATTTTCATTTTCATTTTCATTTCCATTTCCATTTTTATCTCTATCTCCATCTCTATCTCTATTTCCATCTCCATCTCTATCTCCATCTACTTCCCAATTCTATACCCACCCACTCCCATTTCCATCTCCATCTCCAGCTACAAACCGCAGTCCACAAACTACAAACCACAAAAGAAACAACCTTGGAATAGAAATAAACTCTTCAACTTATTCCCTATTCCCTATTCCCTATTCCCTATTCCCTATTCCCTATTCCCTATTCCCTATTCCCTATTTTCAACACCCGGAGCCAGGAGCCAGGAGCCAGAAGCCAGGAGCCAGTCAGTCAGCCAGTCATCTATCTATCTATCTATCTATCTATCTTCCCCCCCTCTCTTTCCTCTTTCCACCCTTCTCTTTCCACCCTTCTCTTTCCACTCTTCTCTTTCCATGCTTCTTTCCACCCTTCTCTTTCCACCCTTCTCTTTCCACCCTTCTCTTTCCACCCTTCTTTCCATGCTTCTTTCCATGCTTCTTTCCATGCTTCTTTCCACCCTTCTCTTTCCACTATTACAAACCTTCCTACCTACAAATCTCGAAAACAGATAAGTAATATAAATAATACATCTCGAATATCAATCAATCAACACATCTCGAATATCAATCACCACATCACATCAACATCACACATCACCATATCAATATCACACAAAATTCCCAAGCATAAACATTAGATAATATTTCATTTTTCCTCTCCTCTTCTCTCCTTCTCCCCCTCCCCCTCACCTTAACCCTCCCCTTCCCCCCTTCCCCACCTCCTCAGACCCCATAATTTTCCCACAAATTATATTCATCCACCCCTTCCCATCCCAGATGTCATAATATGCACTCAACTTTGTTAATCCCAATCTCCCCAACCGAATATCATATCTTCACCAGCCGAAAAACGCCGTACCTCAGGATATAAAGAAAAAAAACCCTAGAGTTCTTCTTCCATCAATTCTCTAACCAAATGAAATGTCCCCATACCGATTATGAGCTAGACTTAACCAGTCTTAGCTTTCTTAGCCGGTCTCTCCCCATCACTAGCCCCTTCATCTTCACTATCACTTCCGGAACTTTCATGAGCAGAATCATATTCTTCTGCCACATCACTCTCGCTATCCGTTTTGAAATCTTCATCCACACTCTCATCATCCTCATCAGCACTTCCTCTATCAGCTCTAGCTGCCACAACTTCTTCATCCGAAGATTGCATATCCGGGTTATTGAGAAGAGCAATGTGTGCTGTATTATCTTCATCCATCTCATTCTTAACACGAATTCCCTTAATCTTAAAGAAATCTTCGAGATTCTTTTGTTCTTCGCGGTTGATGTTACTGAATTGTGTTTCACCAGCTCCACCCTTCATTCCAACTGCGATATCGAAGGTACGGGAAGCCGAAGTAGCTCCACCAACACGAGAGAAAGTTATAACTGTAATTTGCTCGTAGGTAATATATGTAGCAGGTTTTGGAACGAACATGAAAGCCTTCTCCAAGCAATAAAGGAAACCTTCACTAGCTTTGATAGAACATTTGATACCATATTGTGAGTGATGACTAATAATGTTAGTAAAGCATAGAGACAAATGTTGGAAAAAAAATTACCTCAAGAAATCCTTAGCCGGTTGGTTAATCTTCTTTCCGGCAAGACCACGGAATACTTGTGTGACAACTTCATGTAATGGTTGTTCATAATGTATACTCAACTTTCCAGCGTATTTGTCTTTCATTACATCCTCAGTCATATTCAGATCAATGGTAACTTCTTCATCCTTCTTGAATTGCATAACCAAGAAAGGATATCTGGTTTGACCTTGACGTAATGGTGGATCCAAACCGATACAAATCATAAAATGTAACTCATCAGGCTTTGGTAGAACCATGAATTTCTTGATATTGTCGTATTGAATCTTGTAATCGTATGTTTTACCACGTAATCGGAAGGAGTTTTCGTACATATCGATATCGAAACGTCCTCTGCGAACAATTAGTTTAGTACCAAAAAAAAAAATGCGACATACCTTGGTGTAAGATGTAAAACATCCAAAAAAGTGGCAACAGTATCTCCAGCAACATCACCAATTTCAGCCTTCTCCATCAAAGTGTCATAAAATATGGTAGAAGCATTGGTTTCCTCTCCATCGGCTTCCTCTCCAGAATCCTCTTCTCCTTCACGAGCTCCTTTCTTTGACGCAACACCAGGAATATAGAATCTCATCTCAACAAGTTGATCTTTTCCGGCACCAGATTTCTTTCCCTTGGCACGCGCACCTCCTAAAGCTCCATTTGTACCCGTATCATCAGCATTTGCAGGAGTGAACTCGACCGCAACTTCATTCTTGCCTGCCAAATTTGTGTTTGAGATCTCGGTGTATGGGATTTCGAATGCGGGTCTGTTTTGAACGTTGAAAACCAATTCCGACTTTCCAAATTCGCCTTTACCCCAATTCCACCCTCTTAGAGCGTGCTCCTTGTGCTCCAAATTCGTGCTGTACCAGTTTTTGAAAACTTTACTCAATCGCTCAAAGTCCTACATTGTATCAGAAAGAATGCGCCAAGTGAAGTATGTATAGTATACTGACATCTTGTAAGAAACCATCAAGTTGACAGATATCACCATTGCGCAACAAAAGCTTCACTTCAAAACCTTTCGCTGCCTTGCTCCATTGCGCGCCTGCGATATTACTGCTCTCGAGTGTAAATGTATCTCCGCCGCTCGATGGTTTCCATCCGAATCCAGTTTCAGCGAATCTGCATCGACCTGACTCTTTGGAGAGGTCAAGGAAGATATTTTCGAAACTCTCCCTGGTGAATTTAACAATGTTAGCAACCAGATCTGAAAAAGCCTCGTCTTTGACTTTAACAACTTTCGACATTTTATTTATTTATATCCGAATCGCAATCGAATCCAATTCGTATCTGAAAGAAGTTACACTTACATAGCCATATTTTGAGTTTTGGTGGTGGGTAGCTATTGCTTTTCGTGAAGAACGATTTTTCTGCAGGACAATTTGACAATGGAGGTCGCGGTCGCGTTGAGAAAGACGCATAAATTGATTAAGCTTGAGATCACGTGATGATATCGTTTTTTGGCGATACAATGCAATGCTATCATAAAAGTTCAGACGAGAAAAGAAAGGGGATTATCTAAATCCGAGAGGATAAACTCGTGTTGAAGGATATCACAAGCTAATTGTGAGCTATTCAGTATTCTCTTGAATCCAGTTCAATACATTACTATTTGAAGAGAGTTCACATACATAGCTGTTGGCCCAGGCTGCAAGGCTACAAGTCAAGTCAAGATGTAGTATCTCTGATATCGTGATTACTCCATTCTTCTAAATGAGATGAACATTCAATAATCCATATTCCTCAAATCATGCCCAAATCTCCCAAATCATTCCCAAATCTATTGTTCGCCTTTTCAATCCTTCGTTGATCTCAATCCAACACAAACTAAAGTGTCACTTTTCTCAAGTCTATCTTTTCACATAAAACACATGTAGGAAGCATTCAAGTTATAATTTCATCCTTAGACTCCTTATGTCTACCTGTTCTAGTAATGAGCAAGTTACATGCCAATTTAAAAACATCATCTCTCGCTAATGCGTGCGCTGGTGTGGTATAAGAGCTTTGAAAACAGTTGTCGACCCCCATCAAATGAAATGGTATAACAGTTAGGGTTAAGGTGACGTAAAAGACAAAACATGAACGGAACGCCAATCGATGCCCATAATTGTCCCGAGTGAAAATCCGTAACACAATAGTCGTCCTCCTAACATAGTAGCCATATCGTCCCCCGATTCAACATCCAACATCCACCATCCATTATGCGGCATTCTCCTTTTCACTCTCGGAGAGAGCGGTCTTCTCATTCATTGATAATGTAGGTGATTCGGCAGATGATTGTGAAGGTGACTTCTTTCGCATGACGGCATCCTGACTACCCATTCTTCGACCCAATGCCCTCTCCAACTTGGCTCCCAATGCCAACTTGCCCATGTTGTCTCTCTTCTCCGTCGTCAGATCACAACGTTGACTCTCCAACTTCTTATTGTGTAACTTGTCGAACCCTTCTTCGATAGCGGTGAATTCTTCTCGAGCAGAATCGGTGGTTTCGATAGAGATGGCTTGGCTGTAGGTACTAAAGCGATTGCCTTTGGAGGAGACCTTTGTGGAAGGCATAATTGTCAGCGATGATCGATGATTATTTGTGGAGGTAATTTATGCTGGAGTATAAGTGATGAATCGACGGGAAGTTTGTGTAGAATGAAGAGGGGAGAGTGAAGGAAATAAACATACACTTGGTGCCATGATAGGACGGGAAGAATCTAAGGAAGCAACCATCTTTGCGATATTCGTTTCAGATTGACACGGGGTGAGATTTTATGACAGATTAAATCAAGGTTTCCTCTTGTAGTATGATGTGGTCCCTAATAACCACCGTTATATGATCGAATCGCAGAGTGGCTCGAGGGAGTGAAAAGGTATGGGCTATCTCAGGCTATTCTGGTCTGGAAGTGATGGCGTTGATCCACGTCTATCGGCTTTTTGTAGTAGCAGCAGGTGTTCAAGTGGGTCAAGGCCTGGGTGCCACGAGGAAAAGGGAATTGGAAGGGCAGTTAACTTCAAACCGGAGTGAAAGAGTGTTAGGAAAGTCTTTCAGGAAATTCAAGGGACCCCTTCTCGAAGGTGGATCACGGCCAGTCAAAAAGCTTCTAAAAACGGCAACGCACTGACTAAATATGGCAGCAATCACTTGCAGAATGGCAGACTTGCAGGTGCAATTAGAAAGATACGGAGACGCGAATTTCCTTTTAAAGTCGGTGGAGCGTTTGTAAGACTCGATTGAGAGGGACAAGAGATAAAAGGCAATGGTTGATTAGTCGATGGAAAGTGTCATCAATCTCTGATATGTGGTTCGACGGAATTTCTGGAGGATCGATTTGATGCAGTCAGCTTTTAAAGTTCCACGAATATCAATGAGCAATTTGATCGGAATAATAAATGTGATGGGAAAGATTTACCTTGTGGAAGGGAGGAAAGAAACGTGGAGGGTAGGGATTCTGAAATCTATTGATTATGATGGGGTTGATATCAGTAGCTATTCGTGTTATATCTGTGAAGTGGAGAAACCGATGGAAATTTGTAATGTTAGACGTTGAGTGTTAGGGATTCATAGGTATTGCTTTTGGCTGACAGAGAATAGATAGAAGAAGAAGGTATCTTTGAATTAGGTAGATTGGGAAGAGAAGAGAAGAGCAGAGCAGAGCAGAGCAGAGTCAAAAGAAATAGATTTTCTAATTTTATCTACGATAGCTGCCGCCGATATACAATAGATGCACTGCCTTGTATTCCTCTAAGGGTATTAGTGAGTGTCAAGGTCAATCCTCCTTCCACTTTCCACTCGTATCCAACCAACAATACCTAGATCAGTCCGAAGCAATAGATGATTTATAAGTATGGCAGCACAATTGAGATTCAGGTATCGATACTCATGAATGATCGATTCGAACTGGTCTCGTCTACCTACCTAAGTAATGTCTAACCTTACCTAAGCATTTACATGTTTCGGAAGAGGCCGTAGTATTCCACGGACATGCCCATCTTGTTTAGAAATAGAAATAGAAATAGAACCTTTGATAAACACTGAACTAGCGAGAAACTGTAATCCATTATACACAACCATGGAGAGTACCTACCTAGTACCTCAAGAAGATCTGAACTGGAGACTAGACACTCGAAGCTATTATTATATAGAGAATCAAGGCTGTTAATGATTCATCCAATGAGACAGAGAATCTGAAGTGTTGGGTTCGCAATGTATCTACCAAGTATGAAGTACATGACAGATAGGAAAGAACGCTTGAAAAGGACCACCAGGACCCGACCTGGACATAATCGGTAAGAATAACGTTGATTGCTAGCTCAATAAATTTTCATTATTACCTTCGCACGTGGCAACCACGATATATTCTAGATTAAAAAGAACGCCGTCGTATTGGGTCGCATTGAACTAGGGAAATCTAGCAATGCTTGTATCATACCATATGAAACAAAAGAGACGTTAGCACCTTCGCACGTTGATTACTAGGTAGTTGAACATGTAAGATCTTACACATAGCCTACACATAGCCTAAGGTTAATTAGTAATTGCTCTTGCGTCCTGCACGGTACAATAGACATTCATCTACATCACGCACACAACCATAATCAACCAATTGGAAATCCTCAAGGCCATTCGCACATTACATGCGTGGTGGGATCTTGCTTTTTCGGTATTGGGTTGGATGTGAAAGTCGTATTGGAGTGCATATGCAGGATGCCATTGAGGGGAAGAGGATAGGAGGGGTAGGCAAAAACACTCCATGGCACCCCTCATCAGCTTTCGGCATTTCTGTCTGGTCACCGGTGCTATCAAAGTGAATGCGAATAGATTCTGGTATTTTGGATATCCATATACGGATAGGTATGTACAGAAGAAGACAAAGGTCCACGGTTTGGAAGGTAGTGAGTGAATCAGGGATAAAATATCCAAGAAGTGGTATATATTTTGGGTAAATAATAAAGCAGAGCAGTTCAGTTCAAGGTAGTACCTGCTTGATCTATCCATGGATGGAATGGATGCAGCAATTGGAAGGAATCGATGAATTAATTGCTAATCGCCCTTTCCTCATGAGTATCATCCCATCACTCCTTGACCTCATACCTCATACCTCATAAGAGAAGACAGAAAAAAAAAGCAATAAATTACCTTACCCCACCATAATAAAATATCCACCTTGATTTTCTCACACTCACAACGTACCTGGGTAGTATCCGTACATCACAGAACTACGAGTATTCAAACATTTCTAGACACTACCTACCTAGGTAATCATTGAAACTACAAATTCTATTTCCACATTCAAACCTACCAACTGAACCTCCACAATGCCGAAGAAACAATTTTTGAGAGATACCAAGAAAAAGTCCAAGCATGCACCACAGGTAAGTCTTCACAAATGAATCAAATCAATGAATGTATGGAATGCAATGTAACATCTGCAGATCCCAGCAACTGCTGATGAATATCTTGCCGGTAAGTCATGCTTTAATTCGTAAGCCTTAAGATGGCCACGGATGCTGAGACATGTCATAGCTGGAGTGGATTTCGAAGAAGCAGGTGAGAAGTGGAGAGGTGGTGATGCTATAAAGGTAAGGCTTCAGTTAACCACTTCCGCTCATGTCTTCAATGGAATCTAAAAAAACCGAATCACAATAGTCGACGAGATTCTTTGTCAGAGCAATCGACAATTATGAAGAAGCATTAAAAAAGTTTCCAAATTCCTTCGATCTTGCTTACAACAGGTGAGTGCTTTTTGTCCTTGAATTCTAGTGACGAAGATGGGCTAACATTTTACAGAGCCCGAGTCTTGTATGAGCTCACACAGTATCCAAAGCTTAGAGCACAACTACCTGGAACTCTCTTGGACCTTCTATCAGCTGCTCTAGAAGCCAGTCGATTTGCATTGAGTTTAAAGCAGGACAATGCAGATATCCTGTTGTATGTAGTACACAAATCCCGTGGTGCTTTTCACGGCTAACGACATCAGCAACACCGCCCAGGTTCTTACCAGTATTGCGGAAGTAACATCAGAAACGAGAAATGTTGGTAATGATGACAACCTAGCTTTACTGGAGGAAGCTATTGAGCTCTTTCAGAGATGCTTGGCGTTACAGGAGTACCAATACACTGAATCACAAACCCAAGCTGAATCTGTGCCCACATCAGATGACGATCCAGACATGGAAGAAGGTGGAGTTCCATTATCTGATTCTAACTCTCAGCCCCCACAAGATGATCGATGGGCGAGTATTGTTGAGCCAGTAACTCTTGAAACTTTACTAGACACAGTAGTAGCTCAGCTTCAAACACTCGCAATACTGTGTGGACTGGTGAACGTCGATGCTGGTCGAGGTCTTGCGTGGATTGAAGAGTATTCAATGACACTGATTGGTCAAAAATTACAAACCTACCTCGAAGGCACTGTAGACCGACAACAAGAAGCTGGTCTTGCAAAGTCCAACTTTATCGCCGCTCTCGCCGATGCCAATTTCAGATTCCAACGAATTGATATCGGTACATACGAACGAACCTTAAACGATGCTTACGCATCCTTGAGCCTTGACGATCATCCCGAGGGACTTTGTGACAAAGCTGAAGCATTCATCTCATATAATTCTTCTCTTCGTCTGAATCATAAAGCAGTTCAATCACCCGAAGCATCAGCATCACGATGGAAGGTATTAACGGCAGCACTCGACAATCTGACAAAAGCTTCAAAACTTCCTTCGGCCGAAAATTTACCAAAGATTCATATTTTACGGGGTGATGTTGACCTTCTGAGATTTCAGTTGGGACAGCCACCTAGTAACTACGAGATTTCTTTCAAGAATGGGGCAGTTTTGACCAAGAATGCCGAGAAATTCTATCGTGGCGCTGGAAATTTTGCGAAAGTTGAGGGGTTGAGGAAAGAGTTAGAGGAAGCTGAAGTTAAGGAAGCTCTAGCTATGAGTTTGCATGGTGAGCCAAATAAGTTATTGAGATGTGTTAAGTTGCAACCGGAGGTAGTAAGGAATATCCTGGAGGACGCTATTGATGACGGTTTGATTTCATATGAGGCTCTATCCGCCATGGGTATTGCATAGTGGTCAAAGGGCTTCTTGGTATTTAAGGTCATGGTTGTTCAAGAAGCTGTGAGAATGATTGAATTATCCCAACATACTCATTACTTCAAAAGATGACAATGGCAGCCAAAAGATGACTGATTGTCTTTGGACTGTATATGAGACTGTCAATTATTGACATTTATGTCACAGTCGTTGAGAGTATAGATGTGTACATAGTCTCAAGGCAAGAAATCATCACGCTACTTTGCTGCTGTCTTCCTTCACTCTTATGGCTTCAGCCTCACAACTTGATTTCATGAATCTAAACAAATCCAATTTTTTCAAGCTCTTAACAACTTGGAGGTTTCAATGAAGGGAAGTCCTTGTCCCGTTATGTGTCTAGCTATGGTATGTATCTGGTATCTTCAACACTCACCTGGAACATTCACTTACTCCGTACATATATCATTTCACTCTTCACTAACAGAACCCTGTTGTTTAGTTCTGGTCTGTGCGGCGAAGCTCCTTCATGCCTCAGGCAACAGATCGGAGTTCTTCTCTTCGCTTATGAATTTGTAAAATAATGGAGACTTAGAACAGCTTCATCCTTTCCCACCATCGACTACCCCAAGAAAATTCTTTTCGACATCTTTCTACACCTCCAAACGCATTTCCCTACAATCAAGAAGCTTCTTTCTGTACTTCTGATCAATCCCTCCACAAAACGCTCGTAATATCAATCCTCGAATCTTTAAAGTGATCATCTTCTCCAGATCTCACAAATATTCACAATACCTTGAACAAACATTCCCAAAAATTGGAAAACCCCGCGATTTCTGTGATAGGACTCTATTCTGCCATTTTTCACCCAATTTTGAACTTCGTTCAAACCCATCTGCGACAGTTCATTTCATCTGTCTGAAATTTCTTAGAAAAACATCTCTCCGAGACCCCTCTTATCTTCTTAATTCTTGCGAGGTTGACAAAAGTCTTCCTTCCCCACCTTTTCTAAAATCATGGCCGCCAATGGTACTTTCAATCAACAAGACCAATACAAGACAACCGAACAATATCCAGCTACTTCGGGTGCCGCTGGTTCCTCAACCGGAGGTGCTTCCGGTGGAGAGCTCTCTAAAGATGAAGTTGGATGGTACTTTGTTGAGCAGTATTACACTACTTTAAGCAAATCTCCAGAAAAGCTCCACGTAAGTTTCATGATTGCTGCTATTAAAACTACAATTTGCGCTAACACTGTATAGCTTTTCTATGGAAAGCCATCTCAATTCGTTTCCGGTGTCGAGGGAGCTCAAGCGCCAGTATCTGTTGGCCGAGCTGTAAGTTTTGCGCGCCTTCATAACTGTAACTGTGGCTAATTTTTTTTCGCAGGGTATCCAAGAACGTATTCGCGAACTCGATTTCCAAGACTGCAAAGTTCGTGTCACCAACGTCGATTCCCAATCCTCCTTCGATAACATCGTCATCCAAGTTATTGGTGAAACTTCCAACAAGTCTGCCGAGCCCAAGAAATTCGTTCAAACTTTCGTTTTAGCTCAACAAGCTACCGGTTATTTCGTTCTCAACGATGTCTTCAGATATATCAATGATGAGGGTGAAGAAGAACAAGTTGAAGCTACTGAGACCAAGGAGGAGTCTGCGCCAGCTCCAATTGCTGAGGACGTCGAAATGCCAGCTGCACCAGCTGCTGCCGAGGAGACTGCAGCTCCAGAAGCTTCTTTAGATGCCGAGGTCGTTGACAAGAAGTTGGAAGAGACCATCGAGGCTGAGCCCGCCACTGCCGAGCCAACTACAAATGGAGAATCAACTGAGGCTGCTACCGAAGTTGAGGAGAAGCCAGAAGAGCCAAAAGCTGAAGAGCCAGCTCCTACACCAGAGGAAATTGAGAAGGCTGTTGATGAGGAAGTCAAGGAACCCGAAAAGCCAAAGGACCCCGTTCCAACTCCAGAGCTTTCCAGACAACCCTCTGCCGCTAAGCCAGCTCCTGTTCAACCCGCTACCCCAGCTAAGCCATTGAGTTGGGCTGCCCGTATTGCAGCTTCAGCTGGCACAGCACCAAAACCCGCTGTTCCAATTGTGCAACCAAAGGCCGCCGCCGCTCCAGCTGCACAAAAGCCCGCTGCTGCCGCTCAACCAGCTGCTAAGCAACCAACGACCCCAGCAACAACCGCTGCCACTCCAGCTGCCGAGAAGAAGGATAACTCACCAACAGGTTCTGCCGGATGGCAAACCGCTGGAGGTGATGCTAAGAGACAAAACAGACCTCAATCTATCTCTCAGCAAGCAACAGAAGACAAGGGAACTTTGGGATACGTCCGTAATGTCAACGCTTCGGTCAAGGACGATGAATTGCGCTCCATCTTGAGCTCTTTCGGCGAGTTGGTCTACTTTGATATCAACCGCGCTAAGGTATGCCATTTATTCCATTCCAATGAATGTGTTTCATGATTGTAACTAATTCGCATTCAGAACTGTGCTTTCGTCGAATACGCCAATGCCTCCGGTTACCAAGCAGCAGCTCAGGCTAACCCCCACAAGATCGGCGAAGAAACTATCTACGTTGAACCTCGCCGACCAAAGGCTTCTGCATACGGTGGAAATGGTTACTCTGGTGGTGGACGTGGTGGAATGAACCAACGTGGCCGTGGTGGATTTGAACAAGGTCGTCCTGGAAACCAATCTCGAGGCAACTTTGGTGGAGCAAACCGTGGACGTGGAAATGCTAATGGACCAAGAGGAGGTCGTGGTGGTGCCACTCAAGCAGCTTAAATGCAAATATCAACAAAACCACCTTATAAGTTAAAAACGTCGCATTCATCACCGATTACCAGAGCATGGAACCTTCGACGATGTACCATATTCAGTCACCTTGGCTTACGAGACCAAGACCCTTCTTCCTTGTACTCTACTTGATCACGAAAATTTCTCGGGGCCTTTCTTTCATATTCATGCTTTTTAGGACAGCAAAAGTTCAGCAACTTGATTATTGGCTCATAGTTTATGCGGTATCATGCTATATGAATAGCTTTATGCTTTTCTTTTTCACGTTAAAAATTTGAGGATGGATTGGGTGCAACTTTTTTTTAATGGACCACAGAATTTACGCAATTTATGATGTACTCATTTGTCTGTCTCGACTCTCTGGCATTGCAAGAATTTGATTTCCCATACGCACTTTCAATTTGCTCTCTTTTGCCATACCACCTATTCTTCAATTTCACATCTTTTCTTTGAGTTATAATGCATAGCATGTTATGATGATTACGGATGGATGGATGGATGGGGTCGGTAATGGGAAAAAAATATGTGTTGATGGGCTATACCCACGTGTGTTGGGCGAGGCTCATTGTGACGATGGATGGATGAATGGATTGGCATGAAATGGACTGAGAACGGATGGCTGGATACTCCGGTGTGTAGACAGAAAATCTACACGTTGCTGGTGAATACTGAGTAACCTTTGGCTCGTGGAAACACGCTTGCTAAATGAGTTTGTGGGGGCAGTAGAGGGAATGGAAGTGGATGCATGGTAGATAGAATTGCTAAACTGAGGTGTGTAACGGGAAGAATGAATAGTAAGATTTATGAAATATGAGATGAGATGAGATGAGATGACGGATGATGTTGAGTGAATGATTGGTGAGTGAGTGAGTAATTAAGTGAGTGAGTGAATGATTAGATAAATAAGTATCAAAACTTCAAGATGGATTGAGAACCCGGAGAAAAATAAGCGAGATGATGAAATAAATGATTAGGGGTGAGATGAGATGAGAATCTTAATGAATGGCACGGTATGTAAGTAAGTATGCTTGTATGTATGTTGTAAGAGTTCTGGAACCTACTCACCGCACATGTAACGCTTTTCCGGCTAAAATATACGATTATTCAGCTTTTTATATCCTGGTTTATTTATGAATTTATTAGATAAAATTGAATATAGTATTATAGAAAGATTAAAAATTATTTAAATTACTCAAAAAAATATATTATTTATTTTTAAATATTTTTATAATAGTATTTTTGAGAAATTAAAGTTGAAAATTCGAAAAAATTCGAAAAAATTCGAAAAATTCGCTTATTTTGTATAAGAAAAGCGTTACAAGTTAAAAATTCTGAACTTTTTCAATTAAAAGCTTAAATAATTTTTTAACAAAAATATTTAAAAATAAATTCGAAATTTTTATATATAAATAATAATTCAAATTATTTATTATAAAGTTTTTATAATTTAATATCAATAATTGTATAAATTATATAAGATTTTAGTTTATATAGGAAAATATGAATTTTGCAGGGATTATGTCACAAAACATCACGCTGTATGGTGAGTATGTTCGACAACTCTTATGTTGTATATTTAATTAATATTCTATATAATATGATACTGAAGATTTAGATGTTATGTTGTTGTATTATTATTGTGTTGTTATATTATTATACGAAGTAAAGCTGGGAAATGGAAATGGAAATGGAAATGTTTGGGATTTGGGATTTGGTTTGGGATTTGGAATTTGGGCTTGAAAAGATTGAGAAGATTGAGGATTTAGCGCTGAGTGTTCAATATTGAATGTTATATATTGAGTACTAAGTACTGAATATTAAATATCGAGTATTCAGAAACCCAAAAACTACTCGAGTATTATCATTATCATTATTATCATTATTATTATCATTATTGTTATTATTATCATTATTATTATTATCATCATCATTATCAATATTATCATTATACTATATTATATACATCACGCTATGCTATGCTATGCTTTGCTTTGTTTTGCTTTGCTAGGTATATCAAGCTAATCTTGAATCAATACTCCATCACGCTACGCTGCGCTTCTCTGCTTCTTTGCATTTATCTCTGAATTAAGTATTAAAAGTCGTTTATTGATTTTTCCAATTCCTGATTTCCAATTCTTGGTTTCTAATTCCTGATTTCCAATTCCTGGTTTCCAATTCCTGGTTTCCAATTCCTGATTTCCAACTCTTGAGCCCCTACTCTGTATTAAAGAGGTGAGAAGGGGGAGGTGAGAGGTGAGAGAGAAGAGAGACGCTGTGTTCATGTATCCTGAGTCTTGGATCCTGAATCTTGGATCCTGAATCTTGGATCCTGAATCTTGGATCCTGAATCTTGGATCCTGAATCTTGGATCCTGAATCTTGGATCCTGAATCTTGGATCCTGAATCTTGGATCCTGAATCTTGGATCCTGAAATTTGAATTTTGGATTATCAAATTTGAAATTTGAAATTTGAATAAGGGATTAGTTTTGCTGGAGGGGGGGGATTGTGTGGGGGTGTTGAAGATTGAGAATTGGGATTGAGATTTGAGAGGTGAGAGGTTGGATTGAGTTTGAGATGATTGTGGTGAGGTGAAGTGAGGTGAGGATCATGCGTGGCTTTAAAAATCGTTTCTGGGAGTTCGGTAGTGGTTGGTTCGAGAATATAGCGTAATTCTACCCCTCGGATGACATAGCTTCCATGGTATGAGCCTCCATTTATCATAAATGCCAAACCAGACAATCCAGATCTCTTCGGCCTCTTCCCAAACCCCTATCTAAGATACTCCTGTGCATCAAACAACTTTCAATTTGGTATGACCTACTCTCGTCGTAGCGATACAGGAATCGGGTAAAGATTCAAAAAATCGGTGGGCCTCGAAAAAAATCGGCACGAGGATTGCCACACTGCCAACAGTTGAATAAATTAGGCTGATTATAGAAGCTGCAACCAAATATGTTACAATTCCAACCCGGAGGAGGAAAATAGCCAGTCGTAGTTTGACCAACTTGACCAGGAGCGACGAGAGTGGTATCCGTACCGCCGCATTTCCAACAGCTGATATCCCGGGAAGAATTATGGGCTGCGCATCCTGATGCACCGCAATACCAATCACCGGCATGAAATACATTGACTGTTGCTCGAGGTGGCGGGTTATGAAAGATAATACGGGGATTACCACATTTTCGACAACGTACCACGCCGTTATCATTTGTCTCGCCACAATTAAATGAGCTACAATTCCATAGAATAGGAACCGTCGGCACTTTAGAACGACTGCCGCAACCTTTACAGACAACATGATTGGCATAGTTGTGTCTGGAACAATCTCTGAATGGACATACCCAATCCCCGGGCTGGAAAATCTCGATGCTACCATCCACTCTCCTTGTTCCACGCGGACTGGAACATTTCTTACAGATGATAGACTCGGAAATATTGCGTTCTCCACACCCCCTTGATATACAGAACCAATCACCAGGAGCCGGATAGAAAAATCCAGCACCATTTATAATTCTTCTTGGCTGGAATGCGTGAGGGTCCCTTGGAGATCCCTTTGTCAGCATGTTTCTTGTTCTCTCCTCCATGTTATAATCATGTCCCATTTTGTCGGCAGTTGCTTTGGTTGGAGTGGGGAGTCTCTTTTTTCTCTCCCTAGTTTCCTTCCCAAGGGTGCAGTCAGAGCTCTTCGTTTGCCAGGGATATCTCAAGATTATTTCTTCGTCTTCTGATTCTTCCTCTCCTGACTCTTCATCATCTGAATTATTCCCAAGACTGAAATTGTGGCCCGTATTTCTTACTTTCTGGACTTCCCAATACCGAGTCTCAATTAGCTTGTTCACTTCTTGATCCCAATCCGCGTGGAAAAAACTTGAGATTTTCTCCGCTATCTCGATCCAATTCCCAGGTAGTCCCTCGACTAGATGATCACCTTTTGTTAACCGACTCGGGTAGAAAAAATCCGTGGGGGGATCGAGATCAGACTTAGGTTTAGCCTGTAGTTGGTTCCCTGCATATGCAATATGCGGTAGGCTCGGATGAGGAAAATTGCCAGGAAATGATGTATAATCCGGATAACCGTTCCTGGACCAAGTCGGGGTAGAATTATTGGCGCCGAGATTGAGATTTGGCTCATTAGCTTTATTAGCCTGCATAGAGTTTCCTAAGCCAGCACGGTATCGTGAGCTCGAATAAGGAAAATTGTCAAGAACCAATGCGTCGAGTCTCCAGCTCGAGGGGCAATCAATTGTATGATGTCCTACTTTGTTGCACGTAAAACATATCTTGCTTGCATTTTCGTCTGACACGGCTTTGTCTGCTTCTTGGATTTTTGAATTCCCACCAGATATTATACTGCTTGCATGATTGCTCTGCCTGTGAGGACGGGAGTGTAGTATTGTTGGGATTGATGATCTTAGCGATTTTTTAGTATCACAGTCTTCTTCATTCAAAAAGAAGATATCTGGATCTGGCAGTGCGATTGGCGAACTTAGCGATTCTTTAGTGTTACAATCTTCTTCATCCAATAAGAGGATATCTGGATCTGGTAGTGGAATTGATGACTTTAGCGATTCCTCAGTATTGCAATCTTCATTATCTATTAAGAAGGTATCTGGATCTGGCAGTGTGATTGGTGACCTTAGTGGTTCCATAGTATTGCAATCTTCATTATCCAATAAGAAGACATCTGGATCTCGCAGTGGGACTGATAAATCGATTTTATCATTGGGACATTCAAAATCAAGAGAATCAGCAAAGGAACCAGGATCTAGAAGTTCCGGCCATGAATCACTAGGTTTAGAAACAGTCTCCTGCAAACGTGGTGTCAAGAAAGGAATTTCTGGCTCTGGAAGATATGCATCAGATGATGATGTACGTTGTCTCTCACTCCGCCTCATAGTTCTGGGTGATTTCTGCTGTAAATTAGAAGATCTAGGGCTTGTTTGAAATTGAGGCATAGAACTGGAATCGTCATCATCTGCTTCTAAATAAGATTGATCTGTTGGAGTCGAGGACTTTTTGTTTGATTTTTTCGGGTATGCTACTTCTGGGTCCAATAGCTGTTGATTTTGCGAAATCGAACCATTCGTTGAAGATAGTTGTTCCGGCTCTATAATCTGTATTGGGGATTGCGTCACTGAAGGCGGTGATTCGGTCTTTGAAGTAGGTTGCGTGATTCTCATCTGTGGTAGTATATGAACAGGTGGGGCTGATTTGCCGTGTTTTGCAGTGTCTTCTTCCAGTAACGATGATTGATGTCCATTGTCCCGTAGTGATTGCTTTTCTCTTTTATGTGGTGGCTTATAAATCGATGAGGATGATTCACTATTTCTTTGCGGCAATGTCAAAGGCAATTTCTCTTCTGAAGCTAACATCTGCCCTGCTTTGAAAGGAGGTACATATGGTGGGCGGCTCTGCTGAAGGTGATTTTTCTTCAACTTGGTAGCATCTTGATGGATATCGTCAACCTTGGAAACCGTTTGGACCTCCCTTGAAGCTAGCTCCATGTTTTTATTTGCAACATGGCCAACTTGTTTTTCATTTGATGCTGAAGGCAGATTTTGGCTATTATCAATGGTCTTTGGTGAGTTCCTTGACTCCATGGGCCCGGAGATAAGCCCTGTTTGATTCTTGACCTCATTAGTGGTTTGCAAGTGTTGTGATTCCGTGGAATCTGAAATTACCATCTGTTTCTTGTTGTTGCCAGAATCGGATGTAGCTACTTGTGTGTGACTCGAGGATAGCTTCGAACGACTATCTGCGACACTCTCACTTTGTGTTTGATTCAAGACCGGGAATTTATCTTGACTTCCAGTCACGGTTTTTAACGGTTTCAGCGACTGTGGCCTGGGAATAATCGTCATTGCCTTAGCAGCGGGGGCAATGGTTCGTGCATCACTCGATGATCGGTTCAATTTCTTATGCGAAATACTCTTAGCTTTTTGTCTTCTGTTCAATGCCGGATATGTGTCTTGCGTTACAACGAGAGAAGACTGTGACTCCTCAGGGCCTGTGGAATTGTTGTTGTCGTTTGAATCTTGGACTCCTACACTTGGTGCGGTTTGAACATAGCTCAAAGGCGACTTTCTAATGCTTGGGAAAAGAAGGCGTTGTAAGTGTCTTGGTACTGATGAGGTAGACATCGCTGGATTCCGTCTAATATTTTTGGATTTAAGATTCTTGACCTGCAAGCCTTCCGGTGGCAATTCTTCGCTTGTTGAAGATTTACCACTAATGTTACTACTGCCTCTGCTACTACTGTCGTGACGATTTGCTGGATACTCCAGGTTAGGTGCTTGTTTTCCTGGTGCTCCTAAAGATTGACGCCTTTCACTCGTGTTAATCTTCGAGCCAGAAATTGGTTCGGGGGATATTACGTATCGACTACGGATTTCTAACAATACTCTCAACTCCCTCTCCTTGAGCTCTTTCATCTTAAGTTGATTGCACTGATTGGTCGTCAACATCTCCACCCTCTTCTCAAAGCTATTGATCTCTTTGAGGTCTCTACTTAGGTTGGAAATTCTCTTCTCCAACTGTTTCTGTTCCTTAGATTGTTCGTACTTGAATTCTGCAAATTTTGACAGTTGATTTTCTCCTTGTTCCTTTTGACCACTTGACTGAGTATCTGTATCGACAGGAACACAATCTAGAACTTTTTCTGGAGATGATAAATCTCGCAGTTTGTAATTTTCGACAGCGGGAGTGAGGTCACTTCCGAATTCTTTTCTAACAACCAAATTCTCAGACGTAGGTGTGCTTTCGCTTGGGACATTTGACGAAGTACCTTCATTGAAGGGATTATCAGGTGCATACCTCTGTGCATAGCTCTGGTACATGCTCTGCTCTTCTTCTGCATACCTGTGGGAAGATGAGGGACTGTGAACATCTATTGCCTTGCCTTTTCCCTTTTCTTCGGTTGAAGGAACGGCTCTTTCATTGTCTGGAGATGAATCATGGTTTCTTGGGCGATAGTTTTCTGTTGCATGATAAGCATTCAGCTTTGCTTCAAATTCCAGCTCTTTAGCCTGTTTTGTCTTGATATCTTTTCTCATCCAGATGGTCAACCACTCTCCTCTAGCTTCTTTTGACTCAAACTCTGAAATACATTCGAGAGCTTCTGCCAAGCGAACAATCTCACAAGTAATGATTTCACTATCACTTGCTGCTTCGCTCATCGACTTTAGGAATACTTCAAACTTGTGGCCTAGGTCGGCCGACTTTCGATTTAATCTCCAGTGAAAGTACCATAGCCTTGGTAAGATTGTATCCATTGTGCGGGGGTATGCTTGAGAGAGAACTTTATCTGGTGTTTCCCATGCTGGATCTGGATATAATCCCTTCGGTATCCCATAATCATCGTATGATACCTCAAACTTGCCTACTTGCTTCAAGGAAAAGTCGTATGTCCATGGGTGCTGTCTCCCTGACTTAACTTTTAAAAAATTACGAATATCCTTAGACGAACGAATTGGAGGACAATTCATTCTTTTCTGGTCGCACAATGTTAGCCATGGATCCCAAAGGCCTTCAGACATTGGAGATTTGTACCAGAATAAGACAAGCCAAATCTCCCCCGCCTTTAGACTTTGGTAGCGCACTGCATTCATCATATAAATGCTTCTTAGTATTGCATCGCGGACAACCTGAGATGAACCCAAACTCGTCCACAGGAGCCACACAGTGACTCAAGATGTGACCTCTCATATTACAGTTTGCGCAAATCGCGTCGTGGTACCTCTTGTGATCCCGTTCCATATTGCCATGGGATGCTTGCTGTGTCTTAATTGGCGATCGACTCAGATTTGGTGTGATGGGTTGTTCTGACGATCCTGCAGTTGGTAAGAGTGTAGTGAGAGTTTCCTGCGACGAATCCTGTTCTGGTGAAGTGGAAGTCGATCTTTTTACAGGATTTTTGGATTGATTTTGATCTCTGGACTCAAAGGATTGTCTCGAGGTGCTTTTTGACGATATACCCGCGAAGAAAGGTTCATTAGGCCCTGTAGCAAGATCAGTATGCGAGGCAAATTCCCCAGAAGTAGCCCACTAACAGAAATGTTTCCATGTCTCGACTTTGGCCGTCAGTGATTGAAACTCTTCAGACACATTGGAGTCATCACTCTGGAGACGATCCATGGTTTGGCCATACCAACTATAAATCGCACTATATCCTATGCCATCTGAGTATGCTTTATGGCCCATTGCCTCCAGTCCCTCCGTATGAATGTGGCCGCTCATATTAATAGTTGATCGTGCAATGTGAATGATAAATTTCAATAGTAATTCTGATAAGTAATACAATTTTGGTGCCCAAGATTATTTTCCTGAAATGCTATTAATTGAGGATAGATTGTGGGTGCAGACACATTTTGTGATATGCGATGAAATTCGACTGCTCGCTGTTGCCATGCACAATAAGAATTTCTCGCAAGAGCAACCATCTGTCGACACAGAGAAGGAACGAACAGAACCAAAATACAGTTGAAGGGCGCCTATCATGATAGTTTTCTTTTTATCAAATTTCTCAGCGCCCCTTGTAACCAATACTGTTTGTAACTATTTGAAGCACATAGAATACAGTATTGATATAAACCACAAAATCTGCATTCCGATATTCTACCAAAAGATCTTCAAGAAGATCCCCCACATCAAATTCATCCTGCATATTACGGCTTGTATCGATCGAGAAAATGGACATCGTCAAGCGGAGAAACGAGGGTATCGAGAAGATGGCATCTGGAGGACCTCTCTACGATACAAGCACCCCAAAATTGGATGCCGGAGTGTCGCCCTCCACTGAACCTCTCACATCACACGAACATGTCCGATCGTCTCAATCCAAGGGCTCGCTCAATACTATCCATGATGATCTGCTTCATGCGCCGTCATTATATGAAAAAGGAAATGAATCTTCTACCAGCGTCAATGTTGGCACTTCACTTCAATCACCTGCATTCGATCTGAGCCATGACAACTTGTCAGATGATATAGACGACGATCATTGCTTAGGTTCACCTGTCGAGATTGGCTTTGATCAGCTTCGACAAGGTCATGTACAATCACGAAGCCCTGATCTGTCAGCTATACAAGAGGAAGATGAAAGGGAGATTCATGACTTGGATAAGGAACTAGAAGCTAGAATGGCTAGTTGCAGCTTTGATACGGATGAAGGAAAAGACAATAAGCTTCATTCCGGTTACAACTTGGAGGATAGACTTGAGCTGAACGACAAGACCTGGACCCCTCTAGAACCTTCCATTACTCGATGGTCAGATGAAGATATGTTATGGCGTCAGGGGGATCTTTCGGCATCTGATTTAGCCAGACGATTAGTTGAAGTAAAAAAGCAGCGAGAGAGACAAATGGAGGTATCGAAAGTATTCTGGAGAAATCCTCAGCATAACCGAAAAAAGCGGGGCTTCAAATATCATATTTCGAAAGCCTTGGAGAAACTTCCTAGCAGCACAAAAATGAAGATGAACAGGTTGGGTGTTGCAAATCAAGTAGACAAATAAGCAGGTTATGTGTGAGTCGGTCTGCGAGGCAGGGAAATGAGGATAGTATATATCAGCCCATCCAGCGATAATAATAACAATAACAGCATTGTATGATGTATTTTGATTGAGCATCCTAACTTGTGAAGTTGATGAATTGTCAAAAAAAGTTCGGAACGGATCAATGTTTTTACGAAAAAGCCTCGGCATTGAAGAGATGTTGAATCTCTTTCAATTACAAGACCTTCCACTCTATCTATCCCATCTTCCGGTGATCCCATGAGAAATCTTTTCCGCACTTCGGAAAGTTTCACGACCTGAAGTCAAGTATCTTTCCCCATAAAACTGACATCCTTAACCGCATCCAACTCTCCCAAAAACCCCTCATATTTCTGTCTAATCAACTTCCACGCCGTTGGACCCAAAGGAAGTCGAAGTGGTACTTTCTCTCCACGACTAGCTATCTCATAGATAGTTTGTGCTATACCATTGGGGTCGAGCATACCAACACCGCTCTTGATACCCATGTTTACCCATTTCTCGAGTATACGGGCAGGCATATCGGGAGCAGAATAGGCGGGATGAGGTGCAGTGTGGGCTTTGCTGTGGCCTTCAAAGTTGGTTTTCACACCAGATGGCTCGATTATACAAAAATTAACTGGTCAAAAGAGGTCTCGTTAGTTGTGTGGGAAGAGACAATGAAGTGAAATGCGAAAGTGATTATCAACATACTATTCCAATCAGGATGCATTTCTCGCGCAACAGATTCAGTCCAACCTTCCACTGCATATTTACCAGCGTGGTAATAAGCATTACCGGGAAATGAACACAATCCCGCTAGAGAAGAAATCTGGTAAATGACTCCTCCACGATGTTCTTTATGCTGGCGCATAACCTCAACAGCTTTCATCGTGACTCTGGCGGTGCCAAAAAATAAAGTTTCGACTTCTAAATGAGCTTCTTCCTCAGTCGCCGATTCGGTGTCTCCAGAAAGGGAGTAGCCAGCATTATTGATAACAATGTCAAGATGGAAAGAGTCACCGAAATGCTTAGAAACAGCAGCAAATGCTTCATTAATTGACTTAGCAGAGGTTACGTCGAGAGCGAGTTTAAGGATATTAGGATTGGAGTCGGGAAGGTAAGCGAGATCGGATGGGTTGCGAGCTGTGGCAATCAAACGCTGATTGGGTTTGCTGGCGACTAATTCCGAGATGGCGCGGCCGATTCCAGATGAGCAGCCGGTAACTTTTCACGATAGACATTAGTCATTTGCTTTCTTAAACTCGCAATGATAGTTGGGGAGTAGCGCACTCAACCAGGTTGCATCAGCTGGAAGCTCGTAAGGCTTGGCATTAACTGGATTCATCTTGATAGTGTTTGGTTAGATTTTAGTATCGACAGGTGTGTTCTATTTTGTTCTCGTTAAGGTTTCGTGCTTGTCTTTTCACTGTGGTCAACTTTGGGCTTCTTATATCCAAAATCCTTATCAACCCCCACACCAAATACAGATTATTGGAACTGACGTAGATACGTACTGTTCACGATTTGGTCAAAGCTGTAAACCCCCTATTATGATATTCGCTTCACGGCGAGCTCAGTTTGTTTCCCCGAGCAAAGAGTGGGTTGGGAAAACGAGTCGGAAATTCTGGGAGAGGATTGAGTCATTCGGCCAGGGCTTAAAGGATTCTATTGATGCAGGTGCTGCAGTCAGCCATCTCGTGATCTTCACGACAATTCCACCAATCACTGTGCTTCATTAGGTGCTGTCGCATATCTATCATGTGTTCTGAAGAACAAATTAACCTCGTTTCTAAAAGCCATTTATCCATCAACCAAAAAGGCTGAACTTCTGGAAGTAAGGTTCCAGATTATTGGCTTCTAATTATACACCTCGGATGATAAGTTGCTAATATTTCCAATTCAAATCCAAAAGCTTTTATTAAACGTCGGAACTATGTCCGAGTCTGATCTCTCAATGTAAGAACAATTTCATTCGGAGTAAAAAAACTATCATTCGAAAGCTTGGCATCCTCTTTACTTTCTTCGGAGCTAAAACCATATACAAAAGAACCAAATTTTGGAGGACTAATGCCTCGAGAGCACGCCATATCTGCTCTCGTTCTCAATGATGAAGGTTGATAAGGAGGCATCTCAGTGTAGTCTTTTCAAATTCATACGATCGCGAACAGGGCAAAACTACGAGGCTCACAAAAACATGGATTGATAATATCTCAGCGACATCATATGTCTAAAGCGCAATTCGTTTCCCAATTGAAATTCAATACCCGAGTGTACAATACTTCCTCACCTCAAAAGTCACAAATTTAGATATTCAATGTCATAAAATCTCCGTATACATAATTTTATTCCTATCTAACCTTTAAACCTCTCTCGAAACGACAAAATCCAAACCAGCCATCCCAGACGCTGAAATATGTACCCTCCATGCTCTCACCAAAAAGCATTTTTGCAAAAGTACAGAAAAATAATCTAAGAGACATCTCCAAATCACCAATCTCATATACAAAACACCCCAATATCAGTTTCCAATTAGAACAATCTAATCCTTAGATCTCTAAAGAATATTAACTTTTCCAGTCTCCTCAGGCAAAACCCCAGTAACGATAAACGTCTTACTTCCAAACGTCATTGTCTCGGTCTTGAATTCAAAATTCTTACTATCAATCTCAATCTTACCCGTGAATTCAGGGTTTTGCACATGAACACCAGTGGGTTTAGCATGGCCACTCTCAACAGCCCGAACTGATTCCTTCTGAGTGGAAGGTTTGGCATGACCGGATTCGTGCGCTTGGGAATGTTTTTTGGTGCCGGTAGGTTTGACGTGCTTGGATTGGTGTTCTTTGCCTCCCTTACCGGTTGGTTTGGAGTGGCCAGATTTATGCTCCTTGTTTCCCTTGCCAGTTGGCTTTGCTAGTCTACTCTCGTGGTCTTTGCCGCCTTTGCCAGTAGGCTCGGTTTGTCCACTCTCGTGGGTACCAGTTGGCTTAACGTGTCCGCTCTCAGCAGCACGAGCCGGCTCTTTGTGCCCAGTAGGCCTAGCATAGCTCGATTTGTGGACCTGGGAGTGTTCCTTGGCACCAGAAGGCTTGGCATTACCGGATTCGTGAGCAAAGGCCTCTTTGGTTCCAGTGGGCTTAGCATGAGTGGACTCATGTTCCTTTTCGTCCTTTCCAGATGGCTTAGCATGTCCGCTTTCATGAGGCTTATGATCTTTAGCTCCAGTGGGTTTGGCATCTCCGCTCTTATGTTCCTTTCTACCCTTTCCAGACACTTTTGCATGTCCGCTTTTATGCGGTTTCTCGTTCTTGAAGACAGAGGTTGCAGAGGGGTGTGCATGTTCTTTCTTTCCACTACCAGTAATCCTCGCACGGTCACTTTCATGTTCGTGAACTGCACTTCCTGTGGGCTTTGCCTTACGGGATTTGCTCACAGTGGTACCTTCGACAATGTCGGTTTCAAGAGCCCTTTTAGAGAGATGACCAGTTGGTTTAGCGTGGCTGCTTTCGTGGGCCTTGGATGCCAGGCCAGTTGGCTTGGAACCATCATGAGACTTGACACCAGATGGTCGGAAGTGGTGGACTTCGGTCTTACCACCAGATGGGTGGATGGTGAATTTAGATTCCTCCTCTTCTGTGCCGGTGGGGATGGGCTCCTTAGCAGTGAAGGAACCGGTAGGGTTGATCTTGAAAGAGTGTTCAACGGAGCCGGTAGGTTTAACATGGGATCCACTGTGCTGAACGACATCGGAGCTAAGAGCGATGGGGGAAGCAGTGATCATGGAGATAAGGAGAGCGGCAGTTGCGCCGGAGATCTTGGAGAATTGCATGATGATAGATGTCAATCTGCGTAAATTTGGGTTCAAAAAGTTAATTTGTTTGCTTGCAATGATACAAAAATGCTTAAGCGGAAATCAAAGTAAGGACCGGCCGATATTGGAATCAAAAAATTGAATTGTAAAGAGTGTGATAATAAAGAACGCAAAAAGCAGAACGCGACTTTAATAACAGTGTTTGAACTGATGAAGCAGAAGAGATACTATAAGAATATGTCGGCATATATATACTTAGCACATTAAAAAGAAGTCTAGACTTGCCCTTCAGTTGCAGCAAGCCATTCATCCTCATCTCATCGCTGCGCAACCTCGTAATTCTTCTTCCTTTGCGCCACCAGTATCATGACATATTATTTTCTGGGGAGGCATCTCGTTGCTTCCCGCAAGCTGGTCAGATACAACCATTTGATAGACGAAATCAAGAAAATACAAGAAGGTAGGATCGGAGGAATGGCTAAAATATATAAAAATAATCCATTTCTTTCAAGAACAGGCACTCGATTTCATGTCGAACGGTTCCCCAGGAAATATGAAACCAGACCCTTCAAAAGGCTAATTGTATAAACAAACGTAAGATACCATTCCTAGGAGGTCCCAATAGCAAACGGAACTATCCATCCAAAAGCTCAAAAATACTGCATAATCTCAGGGGCAATAAGCTCGATAAGACAGTATAATTAAAAACAGAAAATCCTTCCACCCCAAACTCGAAACAACCCCCAACCACGTGCTTGGGAATCTGACAGCCCTGAATCTTCGGAAATACCACCTCTTCTCCCGTCTAGGAAAAACAGTACGGAAGATATAATCTAATCGTGACAGAATACTTGGCATAGCCTACTGAAGGAAGAAACGAATACCAGTGGAAACCTTGGAATGATACTAAGCTTTGCGGGAGGATTGAAGAATTGCTTAATTGTCAATCGGTGAAATTGGTGCTTGCGCGTCTTCTTAATCCCTTCAGAATTCGGTTGTAGAATAAGCTCGGAGAGATTCTCAGGATTTTGAATGTTGTAGATTTTCTCGAGAATGGGACTGCGTTAATACGGTCGGTCGGTAAAAGTCTAGATGCTGAGCGACCCAACATCGCTATAACCTAGAAGCTGACATACTACTATTATTGTACAGCACAACAAGGTTTAAAAGCGATAGACAAGTCCATACCTTTAATTCGATTATCATTAAAATTCTGCGATAAAGATTTAGAGATCCATCGTCGGTTGTGCAGATCAATTCTCTCTTTTCGGGCTTTTCAACTATAGAATATGTCAGTGTGATGTAATGAAAAACGCAGAATATCTAGGGTGTGCGACTGTACATGTAGTTTCAGGGCCCTTGTGCCTTGGGAAACTTGTGGATGATTGAGAGAATACGAGCCAATGACTCAAGGGACGAATCTGAATCAATAGGTAAGCTCACCCCCAAATTCAAACCCATAAAATGCTGCAAGGGAGACCAATCATACTTGACTGGGTTTAAAAAATGAACTATTAAAATTCGATATGCTATTTAACTGGTATCTCTTTTGCTCGCGCTTCAGCTTCAAGGCCACAAATCTCGCCATTTGCATCAGCAGGCTACAAATACTAACAATGCCATACACATATTCTCCATCCAGATTCCTACCCCGTCATGTAATATCGTATCATCACGCCAGTAAATGCCACTGCGAAAAAATGCATCAAGAAACACCTGGAATGCCCGTGGGCCCACCCCACGAATTGAATAAACTATCTGAACCACTTTGCACCAAGTACAGCCAGCCAAATCGCTAAATGCATCTCAATCGTGAATTTCATCTCCAGTCCACAAATTTTTGGATTCCAGTCCAATCTAATCCCCATATGCTGGCACCACTGGGCTGCCAATTGCGGTTGATCCAAAATGCCAGACCACCAATAATCCCAAAGCTACTCACCACTTGTAAGGCGATGATACCTCGTCGTTTCATGTCTTCGTTGAATTCTAAAATCCCAAGGGGATCGTTTGCATTCAAGATCGAGTTGGAAGATGTTCGAGAATATTTTCCCCGCTTGACTAAAGCTCCAGTATCAGAATTCCATTGAGGTTGGCGCGCTTGAGAGATTGGTACAAGTGTGCCATCCTGTACACATTCTCCGAGTCTCTCTGTCAACCACACTGCCCTTTCACTCCGGGCTAAAGTTTCGAATCTAGCACGCTCATTCTGAAGACTCCTTTGTAAATCAATGGCCCAATTCGAAAGTCTTACTTGTGCCAGCCTCTCTTCACGTTGAGTATGATCTGTTATACGGGCCAACGCGTAAGATGTTGTCGCACCAACAGGCGCAGTAAGGACTTGTGAGGTAGATGATGACATCATTGATTGCGCAAGAGGTCGATACAAACTTTGTGGCTTCTGCACCAATTGATTATTCCGCCATGCTACAAATTTCTTCGCTGCCGAATTTCTAAGCCACGCTATGCTATCTGGCTCAAACAATTGATCGACAAGAGCTGCTAGCTCTGACTGAACTAACGGTTGAACGTAATCAGGGTTCATGAGAAAGCTAGCATCCATGGTCTCGTGGTCTTTTGACAGCATAGTAGATATAGCATAAGGTGCGGCTGGTTGAGAGGATTCTAGAGCATCGTCAAAGGATAAGCCAAAGAGGAATGGCCGTATATTAGCAGCCCGAAGCTCGCTCAATACATGCCTTTTGACGCTGGCAAGGTCCTCAAGCGACAAAACTTCTGATCGTGCTATAAGAGGTATAACATTCGTCATTGAAGATATGCGTCGTAGATATTCAATATCAACAGGTTTTATTCCTGGCTAAGGGTCAACTGTTTGTGCAGAAAGTAAGTTCTCAAAGACTTACGATTTACGATGATGTAGAAGACGACATCCACTTGAGA